CAATTTTTTAATCCCTTTGAATATAATTTGCAGGTTATGTTACTCTTCAAAATGCAGTTCCTAAGAACAAAAGCAGTGTTTTTCATAGACATAATTTTAGATATGAGAAAATTCATTATTCCATATTATTATTTCATAGTCAGTACAAATTCAAACCATATTCAAGTTCTCTAGTTATCTTAAACACATTATACACACATGTATATTTATTTATTTCTATACAAAATGCAAACTTGCATTATATCCGTTACTTTTAACCTACCTCCCAGAATAGGCCACTAACTTGTAGAATGTCTTATGTTTTTGATTTGTTTTCCTCTTGTGATTTCTTTTGTTTCCCTTCATCCTGTATTTCTGGAAACTTAAGCCTAGAAGCTATCTAGATTTCAATATTTGTAGAAAGAATATACCTCAGATATCTTCATACTGTTTCATATCAAAAAGACATAATGTCAGATTGTCTGGTTATGTGTAATACTAAGTTTAATCCTTCCATTGTTAAGCAACATTTATTCATTTGTAATAAGTAACTAATCTGTTGGATGATGCTTTGGTACCTATTCTGATAAGCATTTTGTTCCCCTCAAGTTTTATATCAATGGTTTTAGCTTTCATTGGTGATCCTTGCCTGAATCAGTTATATTATACTATAGGCAATACCAGTGCTTTTAATTTTCCATATGAGTGTCTGAATATTCAAGTTAAAGAAATGAGTACAATAAGGCTAAAGGGAAACAGGAACACCTAAAAGTTGTGGGAAACCAGCAAAGGCTATGTGGACTCCTACACCATTGTCTCATTTTATGAGTACATACGCTTCTATAAGTTGATCTAATAAGGCAAATATTCATTCAACTCTTCTATTGGCTGTATATGTTGGTCAGCTTTCTGTTGCTGTGACCAAAATACCTGACTAGAACAACTCAGAGGAGGGAAAGTTTATTTTTGGTTCACAGTTTCAGGGTAAGTTTAGTTCATGGTTGGGCACTCCATCACTCTGGGTCCAAGATGAGGAGGAGCATCATGCCTGAAGTGCATGGCAAAGGAAAGCTGCTCAGCTTAAGGTAATCAGAAAGCAAAAAGAGAGGCGGGGAAGGGGCAGCAGGGAAGAGGATTTCTTCCAGGGTACACCCCAAGTGCCCTACCTCCTCTAGCCATGTCCCACCTGCCTACAGTTACCACCCAGTCAGTCCATTCAAACTAGGATGAACCAATTAGATTACATCTCTCATAATCTAATCATTTCACCCCTGAATATTCCTACACATGGGAGCTGAGGGGGAATACCTCATATCCAAATACCTCATATCCAGTGTTATGACACTGGATGTGACAGATATTACATTAGAAATATAAAATAGAGATAAAACATGCAGATTTTACCCCACAAACAGCTTTCTAAGAGAGTTAAAGGCATAAAATGTTACATTCTTGACAGAATAAATATAGAATATCAGCTTGAGGTGGAAGGAAAAGGGGTAGCTCAAAAATGAGAATAATTAATTCTAATAATTCAATTCAGAGAAGGGGAACTGTTCAGGAATGGATTGGTGGTGATATTTGAGTTGAATCTGAAAGCAGGTTAGTGACTCGTGTAATGGATGAGAGAGAAGCTGATGAGTAAACAAAGACATGGGCATCTGCCGCTGCCCTTCATTATCTTCACCCTTATATCAGCATGGTGCCCTAGACCTAAAATAGTCACTCTTATAAGTACTCTTAATGCTCAGATCTTGACTTCTAAAATACCATTTTCCACTAAAAGGGATCAGGGCTCCTGGTATTCCAGGACTGGATCAGGAAAAATGTGGATTGAGCCTGGACCATCTTGTAGTGTCAGAAAATAAGAATGTGTTCAAAAAATTAAGGGGCCATGCAAGGATACAAGAGGAGTTCCAATGACTAACTCTGGAACAATTTTAATAAGGAAAATTATAGTAATAAATTATAACTCATATCCATTAGTCCATGCAGAAATGAATAAACAAACAGAAGGGGCAGCTCTTCCATTTAGAATTCTATTAACAAGTGTAAAAAGATGAAAACCACAATTAGAAATACCATGGTCATAAAGATTTCAAGAAAGGATCATAAATAGATGATAGAACTAGTGGGCAAAATGTGGTGAAAATTAAGATATTTAAATATTCTTAAGGTATTGTGCTATAACATACTTAATCCATTATCAAGGGGAAAGTAGTAACTTCACAGTGAAGAAATCTAGTACTAAAAAAAAAAAATCCTAAAATTCAAATTGAAGCAAAAAAGATTCTGAATAGTCAAAATAATCCTGAGCAAAAAGAATAATGCTGGAATTATCACAACACCTAATTTCAAAATATACCTCAGAGCCAGAATAATAACAAAATAACAGTATGGTACTGCCCATAAAAACACAAAACTCAACTAAAAGTGGATCAAAGAGCTAGGTATTAGCTCAGACCCTGCAAATGCTAGAAGAAGAAAAAACAAACAAACAAACAAACTGTAGACTCAACACTCCAACATGTCAGCTCAGGAACTTTAACAAGAATCCTAAAGTGCAAGAGGTAAAACTAAAAATCAATAAGTGAAATGGCATCAAATTAAAAAGCTTGTGCACAGCAAAGGAAACAATTAAGACTATGAAGATATCCAAGTGCCACTAGCGCATGCCTATAATTCCAGTGGCTTAGGAGGCTGAGACAGGAAGATCGTGAACTCAAAGCCAGCTTCAGCAAAAGCAAGGCACTAAGCAACTCAGTGAAACACTATCTCTAAATAAAATACAAAACAGGGTTGGGGATGTGGCTCAATAGTCAAGTGCCCCTGGTACCCAATTAAAAAAAAAAAAAATGAAGACTAGGTCGACAGAATGGGAGAAAATCTTTGCCACCTTCTCCTTAGAGCTTTAATCTCCAGGATATATAAAGAACCAAAAAAACTTAACACCAAAAGACAAATAACTCAATTAATAAATGAGCAAAAGAATTAAACAGGAACTTTTCAAAATAAGAAATACAAGTGGTCAATACATGAAAATGTTCAACATCTCTAGCAATTAGAGAAATGCAAACTAAAACTACATTGAGATTTCATCTCACTTCAGTCAGAATGGCAATTATCAAGACAAATAACAATAAATGTTGGTGAGGATGTGGGCAAATAGGTATACTCATACATTGCTGGTGATACTGCAAATTGGTGCAACCATTCTGGAAAGCACTATGGAGCTTCCTCAAAAAGCTAGGAATGAGGGCTGGGGCTGTAGCTCAGTGGTAGAGTGCCTGCCTCATATGTGTGAGGCACTGGGTTCTAGCCTCACATCACATAAAAATAAATAAAGATGTTGTGTGCGTCTACAACTAAAGAAAAAAATAAGGCTAGAAATGATCCAGCTATTCCATTCCTTGGTATATATCCAAAGGACTTAAAATTAGCATACTACAGCAACACAGCCACATCAATGTTTATAGCATACAATTCATAATAACCAAACTATGGAACCAACGTAGGTGCCCTTCAACAGATAAATGGAAAAAGAAAATGTGGTATATATACACAATGTAATATTACTTATTACTTAGTCATTAAAGAATGACTTTATGGCATTTGCCAAGGAAATGGATGGAACTGTAGACTATCATACTAAGTGAAAAGAGTCAGTCCCAAAAAGTCAAAGGTAAAATGTTTTCTCTGATATGTGAAAGCAAATAAAAAGTAAGGAAGGTAGATGAAAAAAGAATAGAAGATTGGTGGACTAGACAATGGGGAATTAGGCAAAGAGAGGAGGGATGGGATAGGGCAAGACAGTAGACCAATTCTAACCTAATTTTCCTATGTGCATATACAAATATACCACAGTGAATCTCACCATCATGTACATCTATAGGACAGTAGTTTTTTAAAAAAAAAAAAAAAAAACCTAAGTAAATAGCAGGAACATCAGTAAAGTAGAGGGAAGCAAAGCGGGGAGTGGGGGAGGAAGGGGAAGGGAAAGGGGAGTACTGGAGATTAAATTAGAAGAAATCATATTCCATGCCTTTATAATTATATCAAAATAAATACTATTGTCATGTATAACTAGGAAGAACCAATAAAAAATAAAAGTTGAATCTATTTTTACTTGGCAACAAACCCCAGACAGACACGTAGGCCAATGTAATAGAAGAGAGATCATAGGTAAACCCTGAGGGCTCCAGGTATGATTCTTAACAAACATGCCAAAAATGTACATTGGAAGAAATGTGGCCTCTTTCGCAAATGGTGCTGGGAAAACTAGATAGCCATATGTAAAAGGCTGAAACTAGATCCCTGTGTCTCACCTTATATAAAAATCAGCTAAAATCCAGCACAGTGGCACATGTCCGTAATCCCAGAGACTCAAGAGGCCAAGACAGGAAGATAGAAATTCAAGTTCAGCCTCAGCAACTTAGTGAGGTCCAAGTTCTCAAAAACTTAAAACGGATCTTTTCCTCAAAAAGACCTAAAGGGGACTGGGGATGTGGCTCAAGCCGTAGCGCACACTCCTGGCATGTGTGGGACGCTGGGTTCGATCCTCAGCACCACATAAAAATAAAATAAAGATGTTGTGTCCACCGAAAACTAAAAAATAAATATTAAAAAATTCTCTCTCTCTTTAAAAAAAAAAAGAAAAAAGACCTAAAGGTAAGGTCTGAAACTTTAACACTGTTAGAAGAAAACAGGGGAAACATTTCAAGACATATGCACAGAGAGTGACTTCCTTTATAGGACTCCAAAAATCTAGAAGTAATAGAAAGAATTGACAAAGGGAGCTGCCAACAAATTAAAAACCTTCTGCACAGCAAAGGAAACAGCAGAGTGAAGAAATAGGATACAGACTGGAAGAAAACCTTTGCCAGTCAATGAAAAGAGGATCAATAATCAGAATATATGAAGAACTCAAAAAACTTAACACCAATAAAAAAAAAACCTAATCAATAAGTGGGCAAATGAACTAAAGAGATACTTTTTACAAAAAGAAGCACACAAGGCCAATATTACATGAAAATGTTCAATATATTTAGTCATCAGGAAAAGGTAAATCAAAACTACATTGAACCAGGGATAGTAATGAACATACATGTCTGTAAACCCCAAAATTAGGGATTTTTCAGGCAGGAGGATCACAAGTTTGTGGCCAGCCTCAGTAGTCTCAAAATAAAAAATAAAAAGGACTCAGGATGTAACTCAGTGGTAAAGCACCCTAGTTCAATTCTCAGTACCAAATAAAACAAATACCAACAAACAATAAAAACAAAAAACTATACTGAGAGCCCATCTCACAGAAGTCAGAATGGCTACTATCAAGAATACAAAAAAAAAATGCTGTCAAAATGTGGGGGAATGGAATCTTTTTATACTGTTGGTGGGAATGTAAATTGCCACTATGGAAATCAGTACAGAGGTTCCTCCAAAACTAAAAATAAAACTACCATGTGATCTAGGAATACAACTCTTTATTATATACATGAAGAAATTAAAGTCAATATATAATAGAGATAATTGCATTCTGATGTTTATCACAGCAAAATTCACAATAGTGAATGTATGGAATCAGCAGGGTTTTTTAAAAAATATATTTTTAGTTTTAGGTGGGCACAATGTCTTTATTTTATTTTTATGTGGTGCTGAGGATAGAACCCAGAGCCTCACAGATGCGAGGCAAGTACTCTACCACTGAGCCATAATGCCAGCCCTGGAATCAGCAGTTTTTATGAATAGATAAATGATAAGGAAAACTTTGTATATATACATAGTGGAGTATTATTCAGCCATAAAGAATGAAATCATGTCATTTTCAGGAAAATAGATGGAACTGGAGATCATAACATTAAGCCAAACTCAGAAAGATAAATGTCATCTGTTTTCCCCCATGTTTCCCCATCTGTTTTCCCCCATTCTAGGGAGAAAAAAATGACATGAAAGTAGCAAAGAGACTCTTAAAGAAGAGGAAGCAGATGGGAGGATAGAGGAAGGGAGAAAAAAAGAAGGATAAAAGCAGGGAGTAGATATGACCAAGCTATGTTATATGCAAATAGGAATATGCCATATTGACCCTTTTTTCTGAGTATTAAAATGCACTAATTATTTTTTAAAGGACCATAAAACTTTTAAGGAACTGTACACAGAAGTATGTTCATCATAATCTGAAAATCTTGATTTAAATGTCTGAGTTCAAATCCAGTTCATATTTAACATCTCATTTGCTTTCCAATGAAGTAAAATTTAAAGGAAAAAAACATTTTATTTTCCTATAAGTGATAACTACATTTGGTTTTCATCAGTCTGGAGCAAACAGCCTTTAAATAAACCAAATAAAAGAAATGTATATGATATAGATTTCTTATTATTAAGTTAAAATAAATGACAGCATAAATGTATGTGTATACATGTGGGAAGTATTATGTATGTATGTGGGAAGGTGGGGGATGTATTCTGGAAGATACAATGAATCATGCATAGCCTATTTATATAACAAAAGTGATAAAACTTTTTTATCAATAGAATCCCTTGAAAGTCACTATTAGATGACGTAAAAACTTTTATCCAAAGATTTAGCTCTTTTAATGACCTTCTTTTATTTATGATTCTCTCTCAAAATATAAGTTGTATATTTTTTTTGAATCTGTAAACATCAGACTTTCAGCCCTAATACTATAGTCCTCAGAAAAAATTCATTTCTTCAGCTCTTCGTGCACACCTGCGCTGGTGGCAGCATTAGCAGCAGACACTGTGTGTTCCTGTACCATGGATCTCACAGCATGAGCTGCATAGTTAAGGCTGGTATTTTTGTTCCAATGCCAGTAACCTGAGAAGGGGTTATACAGCATTCCTGCCACAGTTTGAACTGACAGACCATCTGAAAAAAATATAAAAAAATGTAGGTTTAATAAATACCTTCCAACTGCCAATAATCTCCTTTCACTCTTCACATTAACAAAAGATTTTTAATGTAATGGGCAAAAAATACTTTGTAACCATGTACACGTGATAGTTCACTGTAGACTACTAAACATTCTCCAAAGTATACTGCCTGAGTTTAAATCCCAGCTCTGGTACCTACTATATGGTGACTACAGGCAAGTCACTTTCCTTTCTGAATCAGTTTTCTCACATATACCGAACATTTACCATAGAATTGTTAGAAATGGAAGAGATATGCGCATAAAGAAGCAGAGGGTTGGAATTTGGTAAGTATTCAATAAATATTAGCTGTTACAGAAAATATCTTTATCAGATTATTCCCATAAAGCTTCTGCAAAATATTTTTTTCTACTTGATTTTCAACAAAAGTACTCACAGAACTCTCCAGAACTTACTACATTCCTAGGGACTGATAATATTCCAAGTAAAATCAACTTTATTGATATGATGTTCTATGAATAAAAAGTATGAGAAAGAAGGAATCGAAATACTCAACAATACCAAATGCCAACCAGATGTGATGGCACATGACTATAATCCCAGCAATTTGGGAGGCTGAGACAGGAGGATTACAAGTTTGAGGCCAGCCTCAGAAACTTAGCAAGACTCTCAGCAACTTGGTGAGATGATGCCTTGAAATAAAAGATAAAAAGGACTGGGGCTATAGCTCAGTGGTAAAGTGCCCCCAAGTACAATTCCGAGTACAGAAAAAAAAAAAGTCAAATAAATGAATGGAGAAATATGAATTACTTAACAGGAATTCAACACATTGAGTGTTCCCTATATGTAAAGCAAGAGCAAGATACTATAAGAAATACAAAAAGGAGATATAATCTTGCCTTTAAGGAATACACAGGCCAGAAAAAGGTGAAAAAAATAATAATATAAGTAGATTATAAGTAATGTAAAACATTAAAAGTGACATGAAGTTCAAAATACATCTAAGTGTAGAAGAATCAGGAAAAATAGATAAGATTAGCCAGTAAACGCAGGGCTTGGTAGGGCAAACTGGGGTGTAATGTTTAGTCCTCATTTGCTTAAGGATGAGGTACAAACATCTCATCCTTAAACAAACGAGGACTAAATAGCCAGAAAGGATCATTAATCATCTATTATTTGCTTGGCCCTGGGTTAGATGCCACAGGTGAGAAAAAAAGTAGTATCTACTTAATTCTAACTTCAAAAAGTTGATGACATAGTTGAGATAAAACCAACATCCAAAAAATAATAACCTGTTTAATTAAATGCTAGATTATGTGATTAATAATTATAAGTACATTTTAAAGTTTCAGTTAGGCTGTGAAAATTGGAAAAAAAATTAATACTTACTTGATTCCAGAATACTTTCTAGCATTTCAGGTGAAACAAACTTCTCCCACATATGAGTACCCTTTGGTACAATACCTGCAACCTGCTCTGAAAAAACAATTCCCAAAGCATAGGACAGTTGTGTTTTGTTGATTGTAGTAATGAACAAAGAACCGCCAGGCTAAAAGAAGCAAAATTATGTAAGGAGAAAATTGTACTGAAGTCAAATGCAAAAGATTAGGAGTATCAGTTAGGTAAAAGCTTTTCCTTCCTTCAAGAATTTAAGTGCAGTTTGTTACATGAGTATAAATAAAATATAATTTACCAAAATACTATTTTTTCTATTGGGAAATCTACTACTTGAGGCAATCCACTCAGATTCACTGAATCTATACAATAGGGTTTATAACTCTTAAAAATCATACATTACTGACACATTATTTTACATATGTTCTTTTGTACACATCAAATATTTTAAAATAAAATACAGAAATAAGATGTTCTTCTTCGTTACAAGTTCACATTTACATTCTAATGTGTTACCACTGCTTCCTTTTGGGTGCCAGTCTAAGTTTTTTGGTACAGCACAAAGCTACACATCTTATGCATGGGTACATTGCCAGTAAGGGTCTTCAGTTCAAAACATTCAAATGGTAAGGTTTGAACATTCAAATATTAAAGTTTAAATGTTTGGGTTTTTTTTGGTTTGTTTTGGCATTGATTACATTTGTACAAAGATTATGAACAGATCAAGATAAGCACTTAGATGAATACAAAGCAATTAGGGGTTATTTATGTCTCCCCTTTTTTTTAACTACATTTATGGTGTTTCTATGTTTAGTATCACAAACAGCAAGGACATTAATGTTCTCTCCCTCTTTTATGCTTTCTTATTAGTGTGATGAGGATAAGATGCCAAAGATTCCTTTCAAAATAATCTTTCTGTATATATGGGACCAGAGGTGGGCAGGGAAGAGATAATATATTTCAAATACCACCCCAAACCAAAAATAAAAAGGAGAAGACCCTGAAATATCAGTGTGTGCTTTTAAACACTGGAACACCTCATACTATATTGTCACGTTAACTTTTCTCTGTAAACCTTTAGCATCTTAAGAATCATGCTGGGTGCAATAGTGCACACCTGTAATCCCAGCAACTGAGACAGGAAGATCGCAAGTTGGAAGACAGCCTCAGCAATTTAGGGATACCCTGTCTCAAAATAAAAAATAAAAAGAACTGGAATGTGCCTCAGTGGTAAAACATCCCTTAGTTAAGTCCCCAGCTTAAAAAAAAAAAAAAAGAATCATATATGGACTTAGGGCGGGTGGAGGGGGTAGCTCAGTAGCAGAGCATGCCCCTAGATTAAATCCTCAGTACCACCAAAAGAGAATTTTAAACTTTTTAAAAATTAAGGTGTTTTAATTGAAAAATAGGGGATAAGCCTCATAAAATTCCATGTAAGAGAAAACACCAAGAAACTGACAGATTGAAGAAGAGTTAGGAAACATGGCAACTAAATGCAATGCAAGAACCTTAATAGGATCCATAACAGAAAAATGACATTAGTGGAACAACTAATGAAATTTAACAAACTCTATTGTACAGTTAATAAGCATAATGCAAATGTTCATGGCTTATTTATGTGCCAGGGGTTATGTGCAGGTACAGAACTACGGCAAGGCAAGTGAGGCTCTAGGGCACAGAACTGAAACAGGCGGTCCCTTCCAGGGTGCAGTGCAGTGCAGGGCTGGCACCTAATAGCTGCCTCCTTCAATTTTATGCCCTAGACCCTTCATTTGACTAATCCTAGTTCTTACCCTTATGATGTGAATCTTTAATGTAAAGTGAAAATAGTGGAAGAGAACTCTGTATTCTCTTCACAATTCTTCTATAAATCTAAACTTACTTTAAAATATTTTTTTTTTAAAAAAAAGCTCTACTTGGACATGGGATAAGTATTTTATTCCTTTAGCTTTTGGCCTTAAGGTGTTACATCTTAAATATGTAAACAATACAGTTAAAACCTTAATAATAATGGCACATTAAAGATATTAAGCTGAGCATAGTGGTACAGGCTTGTAATTCCAGCAACTAGGGAGGCTAAGGAAGGAGTAAGTTCAAGGCCAGCCTAAGCCACTTAGTGAGGCTCTCAGTAATTTAAAGAAACTCTGTTTCAAAATGAAAAATAAAAAGGGCTGGGGATGCTGCTCAGTGGAAGCAACTAGTACTCCTGGGTTTAATCCCCAATACCTTCCCCCAAAATTATCTTTTAAAAAATTAAATAAATTATTTTAAACACACACATATATATATATATGTGTATATGTGTGTGTGTGTGTGTGTGTGTATGTGTGTATAAAATTGGAACCACATTTGGAGGACTAAATTTGTGGAAAATTATATAAGCATAATAAATAATGAGAAGAACCAGATTTGGAATCAAAAGATCTAGCCTTAAACCCCACCTAACAGCTTTGACATCTCACCAGTTCCCAGTCCTCAAAAGTCAAAGATGATAACTCCCATCTTTCCTTCCTCATCTGGCTGTAGATAAGATCAAGCAAAATAATATGTATAAAGTGATCCTTTCATAAACTGAAAACACAGATTTACTTAACAAATGCTATTTAAGTAAATTTATGCTAATCATTGTTTTTGTTGATTTGTAAGTATTAATCCAAATCACTTTCTTGGTAAATTATCATATGATAGCTATTAAGTATTTAATCCAGACTATAATCTAGATCAATAGAAAAATACCACTATAAATGTGTTTGTTATTTTTCCAGTGTTTAGCACCAATATTTTTCAAGATCCCTGACATCAATATACTAATAGAACCCCAAAAAACCCCATATTGAGGGCAACCTGAGGGGCAGAAGTAATTACCAGCACAGAGGCTATCCCCTAATCCTGGATTCTTGGTTTCTTCTCTCTTATAGTTTATCTGCTAGACTGATAAAGTATTATCGAACATATTAACGTTATGGATATACACATGCACTCACAAGAGAAAGTCTTACCTTTAACACTTGACAGCAGCACTGTATAAATGTTTCTAGATCATTCACATGTTCTATAACTTCAGAAGCTATAACAGCATCAAAAGTTTCTGCCTTCTCTTCCACAATTTCTTCCAGAGAACATACTCTGTACTCTATCCTCTTATCCAGGACTGGATCAAATGATTTATGGTGCTGTGCTATTTTAATATTTTCATCCACAGGATCTATTCCAACAACTGAAGCACCTAATCGCCCTAGAGGCTAATGGCATAAAAAAGTTACTCTCAGGAAGAAAAAAGAACACGTTAGCAATAAAAAGCTTACCAAAAATGAATTGAGATTAACCACAAAGTGATAATTACTAAAGATCATTTTTGAGTATGGGTTCATATACTATCTTCTTTATTTTGTATACAGTTGAAATTTTCCATAATAAGAAGCTTAAAAGTGAGAACAACAATCAAAATGTACATTTACATAAATGTAGGACAGTGTTAAATATCTGAAATGCAATAAATGTAACACGCCATGGTAAAAACAGCTATTATTTCTAGTAACCAATTTCTTCTTTATAGTTTTTTCCTGTGACTGACCAGATTTGATTTTTTATGTATGAATATGTGGTATTAGGGGTCAAACCCAGGATCTTATGCACATAAGCACCCCTCTACCACTGAGCTACATCCCAAGCCCTAGAAATAATTCATAGCTAATTATTTGTTCATCTTTTACATCTGGATACTTCCCATGACATTCCCAAATATTTAAATACAGTCTTAATTTTAATCAAAACTTATACTGTGTTTCTATTAAACAAGGTTAGTCAATAAGCTAAAAGTATGTCCCATCATCTTAACTTTAGAGACATAATTTCTGCAACAATACACTGAACACATGGCAGAACACACAGTAAAATCTTATTCATTTATAATTTGTACACCACATATCCTTAATTCACATATTTTAGGCTTTCTGAACTTTTATAACTGATGTCAAAAGAAACTAGCCCACTTCCAGGTGGGAGCAGGTTTTCTGTGCATGTAGGAACTTAATTGCATATCAAGGACTGTTAGTCACATAATAAACTTGGTTGAGTTATGGACCTCAACACTATCACATTCCATTGAATCTTAAGACTTTTATATCCCCTACTGTTGTTTAAAATATTTAAAAGATCAAATAACAAAAAGTCCCCATGTTAACAGAATACAATATAGCTGCAAGGCGTAAATTTACTATAAACTAAAGCATATATTCTTCACAGGAAGGATGACAACTCTTTGAAGTTCTCTAAAAAAGAAAGAATCCTACAAGTAGGTAAATGATAGCTTTGTTATTAAAACAAGTACAAAAGGACAACTTATCATTGCATTTAAATCAATAGAAACTATCTAATTTCTTAGGACAGAAGAGATCATACAAAGGTATTTGAATTACCTATGCCCCGTTTTTTATTAAAAACTACCACTACCACCACTAACAACAAAAAGTTCAGTATAATTTTCTAAAAGTTTTAGTTTTTAAAAAATTTCAAAAGGCATGAATTACTTTTATAATCATGAAAATATTAAACAAGCATTTAAAAAATTAATAAGACTATTCGTAAAAAGGATAAATGATGCAACAAGCCCACTTCTCAATTTTTTTCTCAGTTAAAAATGGCAGAAAAATAAGTCACTTACTTCAGCTAATAATCCACCACCACAGCCAACATCAAGAATCTTCATCCCAGACAAAGGTTTTCCTAGCTGGTGATTAGCAACTGTTTTCAAAAGATTGTCTCTTTTCAAAAAAAATTCAAAATATATAAAAATAAATGATCAATTCGATCAACAAAAAGTCTTAAAAGCATACAGTTTTCAAGGAAATGTTAATTCCCATTTTTAATAGGTTATTAACTTTGGATAAATAGATCTTTTATTTTCAACATTAGATGACTTTTAATTTACAAAATATTCTAGAGAGAAAAAAGGAAAAGAAAGGTGAAGTGGGGCAGGGATCTTACGAAAATCCAAGTGAAATCAGTAGATGAAAGGGTCTGGAGGGTGGGAGGAGGGGAGGGAGGGGGGAAGTGCTGGGAAGTGATACTGACCAAATTATATGGTTATATTATGCGCATGTACAAATATGTAACCACATTTCCCACCATATATACAACTATAATGTACCAATTAAAAAGTGGAAAGAAAAAAATTTATAAAACATTTTCAATAATCAAAAGTAGAAAGTTTAGAGCAAAGCTCTAAAACAGAATCTAGTAGTAATTATGACTTAATTATTGCTTCAGTGATAATCTAAAGAAAAATAATCTAGATTGCTTTGATTAACCTAATTTTAAAATTTAAAACACTTTAATTAAACTGACTCAACAGAACAGATACAAATGCAAGGCACCTACTACATCATCAGTACTTGTTAGACCTTTATCAGCAAATAGGTTATTTCATAGGAATTTTATTCAAATATTTATTGAATCAAACTGTAGCAACAGGATGGGATACAAATATGTCTATTGGCTATATCATCAGTACTTGCTAGACCACTTTAGGTCAGCAATTTAGGTTACTTTTATAGGACTTAAAGGAGAAGATAAGAGGGCTGGAATTGTGGCTCAGTGGTAGAGTGCTTGCCTAGCTTGTGTAAGGCACTGAGTTCAATTCTTAGTACCACATATAAATAAATGAATAAAATTAAGGTTCATCAACAGCTAAAAATATTTTTTAAAAAGGAGAAGAGATCTATATTTACAAAAGCTGTCCATATTCCCTTCCTAATTCTGTTTTTTTTTTTTTTTTAGTCATAGATGGACACAATACCTTTATTTTATTTATTTTTATATGGGACTGAAGATCGACCCTAGTGCCTCCATGTGCTGCTACACAGGTACTCTACCACTCGAGCCCTTTTTTGTGTGTGTGGCAGGGGAGGGTGGTACCAAGGATTGAACCCAGGGGTACTTAACTACTGAGCAACATCTGCAGTCCATTTTATTTTTGAGATAGGGTCCACTAAATTTGTTCAGGGCCTCACTAAGTTGATGATTCTGGCTTTTAACTTGCTATCCTCTAGTATCAACCTCCTGAGCCACTGGAATTATAGGTATGTACCACATGACTGGCTTCAATTCTCTTTTAATCTTCTAAATTAGTTGTATTCTCATGTATGAACAAGTAGGATGATATCTAATAAAGCAAACTTATTTCTAAGATGATCATAGTAATCCTTTACCACACACACAAACACATGTACATGTGCATATACACATGGTAGATATATACCTAATGGTAATGTAAAGTGAACTTTTAAGTCAGACTGCATATGAATTATAATTATATTTATATTAAAATATATATTACATATAATAAAGATCTTTGGCTATCCTATATTGCTAATAAAATTAATTGAATTCTTAGAATGACAGGTATAATTCTTAGAATGACATGTATAATTCTTAGAATGACATGTATAATGACATTCTTATAATGACATGTATAATGATAATGTATAATATTACTTTGAGATATTATAATACACATAAAGTACTCAATTCAAATGAAGTCCAATCCATTTTTCAACAGTCGAAATGACTCCTCTGAATCAAAATTCGTGTCACATCACTCTCTTCTGAAGGCTTTTAGTTGTGCTGAAAATAAAATCTAAATTTGTAACCATATCTTACACTGCTCTAGGTGATTTGTTTTATTTGATGTCTAAATAAAGATGTCACAATAGTTTGAATAGAAATCTCAAACTTTGTATGCATCAGAATCACTTGGAAGGTTTGCTGAAACATAGACTGCTAATATCCTAGAACAGCAGGTCCAGGATGAGACCTGAGTTCCTGGGTGAGACTGATGCTTGCTGGTCTAGGGCCTGCATTTTGAGAACCAGTCATCAACAATTCTGTTATTTTCTACCTTAGTTCAGTGATCCACAAATTCAGTGATAACATTTCCCTTTTTTCTGCACTGATTCTGGATGAAAAAGCAAAAACTAATCAGAGAGTTCCTTTAGAATCTGAGTGTGATATTATATAACAATTTCAGGGTCTTACCCTTATGAGTTGTTCAAAAGTGTTTAATGAACAAATAAGTGGAGAGATCAAATAAACTATTTCTTAAATGCAATCCCTGATGGTCTCTGGCCTTGCTTTATCTCCCACAGCAAATATGGACTGAAGCACATTCATGAACTGAAGGCCACAGCAGGTCAGTAGCTATAAAATGGCCTTGATGACCTAGGATCTGAACTCCCTTTTATAAGAATTAATTCTAATTAACTCATATGTCCAAATATGCTCCAAATTGAGTTATGGAAGAATCCTAGATCTTAGATAATGTTAATATAATATGTTAATGATAATAAAAAATTAATGATTTCACATAGTGGACACTAAAGAGAATGTCTCTGATTTAAAATTTAGAATTTTGAACCTAAGTATAAACCAAGAGAAAAATGAATCCAAAACAAATGAATCTTAAAACGAGTTGCATTTTTAAAGATGTGGAATTTTTGTTACCTAATAAATGGCACCCTCAGGTCGTTCATAGAATGAAGAGGAGCATATACTCCTTGTTCATCCCACCACTTGTGAGCCAGGGCCCGGAAGGTTTTTACCTCACTGCTGTCAACTGTGGACTGTGAAGTACTATATAGTCTTTTCCAAGGAGACCTAAGAGGTGAAAACAAAGAGCCAGGCAAATAGTGCTATTTTTCAAAAATGTAATATGGGATAAACTGTGTAGAAAGATATTTTATTTATAATTTGTTACATTGTAAATACAAAGATTGCTCAATTTTGATGCTTTAAAATCAAGTTTTGTTATAATTGCACTATTCATATATATATATATATATATATATTCACTTTTGCTTTCAAAGTAAATTACAACTAAAAATGGAACTTTATAAAACTTGGCCTTCTGGGTCACATCTAATAAAAAGCTACATTTATAGAACCTTTACTAAATGCCAAGTACATGTCATCTCACTTCTTCAGACAACTCTACAAGGAAGTACGATGGTTATTCCCATTTTACAGATTAGAAAAGAAAGGCTCAGAAATATTAAGTAAGAGGTGAACCCAGGATTTGAACCCAGGTGCCTCCACCTTATTACTCCATTTCTAATGCTATCATCAAGTCCACGCTTCCATCATCTCTGAACTATTGTCCCAGCCCTTTAATCAGTCTGGCTACACCCTACTTCATCCCCTTACTATCTGTTCTCCATGATGCATACAGATTAATTACTCCAAAATATTAATCTGATTATGGTATTTTTTCACGTAAAATGTTTCTATGGCTTCCCAGTATCATTAGGCAAAAGATTAAAATCCTTAGCATGGTTTATAATGCTCGAAATTTTTGGTCACCCGTTTGCTCCCTCTCCAAATTCACCTCCTGTAATTCTCTTCATCCTCTCTAGTCACACAGGCCTTTTTTCAGTTCTTTGAACTGGCTATGTTTGCTCTTTCATTAGGCACTTTGCATATATTGTTCCCTCTGCCTAGAATTTTCTTCCCACATCCCTGTTTTCCTCCTCATTCATCAGCTCTCTCTTTTTTTTTTTAATATTTATTTGTTAGGTATAGTTGGACATAATACCTTTATTTTATTTATTTATTTTTATGTGGTGCTAAGGATCGAACCCAGGGCCTCGTCGCACATGCTAGGTGAGCACTCTACCACTGAGCTACAACCCCAGCCCCTCATCAGCTCTTAGTTTAAATGAAATGTCATCTATGAAGTCTTCCTTAATCCTCAAAATTGGGACAAGTATCCTTATTTTATCTCCTATATCACTTCCTCCTCTGGTTGTATAATTATTTGGTCATGCCTGTCTCCCCACTAGACCATAAGTACTATGAAAGGCCAGCATGAACTGTCTCGCTTACCATTATATTCTTAGTCACTAGTACAGTTCCTAGAACATACTTGATGCTCAGGAGACATTTGTCAAATAATCGAAGGAAAAGGCCTAGAAAAGTATATCATTCACCTAACATTTTTAATCACATAAGATCAAACAGGGACTAAACAGAAATTAGACAGATACTACACTGAGTTCGAAGTCACAGTAGAGTACAGAAAAGTACTCCAAAGTTCTGCTTGTGTTGCTAAGTTAGAAAGGTAAAACCCTTCAATTTGTACTGCTTTTCTTAGCTACATATAAAGAATACATTCTAGATTCATTCATTCATTCTTCTTCTCCTTATTTTTTTAAAGATTCAAATGCCACTTTTCTTTAATATTATCTTAGGAATATTGATTTCCTTTTCCATATTGAATGCATAGTCTTAGTAATCAAGAACTAATTAACAACAGATAATAGTGAGTTCAGTTGAATAAGAATGGCTTCACAGACACCCAATCTCAAAAGATCTCTTTTAAAAGAAATAGGACAATGCACTTAGAAATCAGAGTTCATCTGAAGCAATTATTTTTTACAAGGTTAGAAACTGGTTTATAAAATATAAATACAGAAAGTCATACTTTGACTCATTCTTACTACCTAAAATGTATACTTATCCACCTTGTCATATTTGTTTCTGATTTTAAGCCCTGCATTTTTTTCAAGTAATACAGTATTCTAGTAAATATAAAAGCTATCTCTGAATCTGGATGAAAGATATGTGTGGGCTATATATTTTAACTTTTCTATAAACTTAAAATTTTTCAAATCTAAAAGTTGTTAAAATATAAATTAGTTAAGAATATTTAAATAACAAAAGCTACTATAATCAAAATATATGAACAATTGCAAACTAAACAAGTTTATTAAAAAGAATCAGTACTAAATTACTTTAACCTATAATTATATAAATATTTTCCAGAGTAATAAATAAACTCACCTGTAATTTTTTATTCTATTCAAACAGGAAAAGGTCATCCTACAGGATTTGAACCACATGGTTTTGTATTCGTTGAAAACCCATGGTTTAATTTGTAGAGTCCAAGTGGGCTGATTCTCTGAATAAAGTGGGGAAAAAAGTTAAACGTCTAGAGAAAAACATTGCACAGTAAGAATCCCTGATATACATGTAACTGAAGAAATTCCATTTTATATGGTAATTTTATTTTACATTACGACTATGTTTTTTTCAATTACAAAGGAGTTTTTACTCAATTTTAGATTCTACTCAAAACAAACAAACAAAACATAACAAAATAAAGGTCTTATTCTCTGCCATCTAATTCTATCCAGATATTTCTGAAATTATAATTAGCAAAAATAAGTAATGCATATGTAAAAGCTTCTCACGTCATTAGCTTTTGTAGTCACATTATGTTGCACAAAATGACAAAAAATGATGTTCTCATATAAAATGTCACCTTTTAAAACAGGATAATATTAATTCTGAGGTGATTTGTCAAAACTAGTTCAAATTTTGTCAATTCCATGTTAGTGACATTAAATGAATTTTTACACATGCTCAACACTGTTTACACAGGGGAAAAAAGTGTGTGTGTTTGTGTGTGTTTGTATGTGTAGCTAAAATAAACACTCACCCAGTCTATACGTTCAAATTCACATAGGGACTTGTTTTATGAATCAGTTACTCAGCTGCAGAACATTTAGGTGTTCAGTAAACATTTAGGCAAAAAAGACTTATAACAAAGACTATTAACAGAGACAAAGAGTGATATTATATCATGATAACAGGAACAGTCCACCAAGAAACCAAGAAGATAATACAATGTATATGTACAAAATAATGGAATTTCAAAACAAATAAAACCAAAATTGACAGCATTGAAAGGAGAAATAAACAAATCCATAACTACACTGGAAGATTTCAACATCCATCCTTTAGTAATTGGTAGAACCACTAGACAGAAAATAAGCAAGGATACAGAAGAATTAAATAATATCATCAACAAATAAAATATAATTGAAATTTATGAAACACCCAAACTATAAAACAGTATACATTTTTTCAAGCATGCATAAAGCATTTATAAATATAGACCATATCATGGAACATAAAACAAATCTTAACAACTTTAAGAAATTTGAAATCATACAAAGTATGGTTTTGACTATAAAAGAATCAAACTCAAAATGTGTAACAGGAAGATAACATGAAAAGAGCAAAACACCTGAAATTTAACAAATGCATAAATTAAAGACAAAAATCTCAGGAAAATAAAAAACAATGAACCAAATGAAAATCAATATATCATGTATAAAATTCTGTAAATGTTTTTAAAGCAGTACTTGGGAAACTTATAGAACTAAAATATTCATATTAAAATGTTGTTCTCAAATCAACAATCAAGTTTTATAGTTAAAATTATGAAAAACAGAGCAAAATAAACCCAAAGTAAACAGAAAGGAGGAAATGATAAAAGTAGAAATCAATGACATTGAAAACAAAACAAAAACAAAGAGACAATAAATCAAACCTAAAGTTAACACACTGCAAGAATCAATAAAATTGATAAACCTCTAGCAAGACTGAATTAAAGGAATTAAAGAGGGTCTATCACTACAGACCTGCAGACATTTCAAGGATGATGATGTACTACAAACTACAGAAATTTCACAATTAGACAAAATGGACTAATTCCATGAAACAACCAAAAACAACCAAAACTGATGTCAGATGAAAGAGAGAACATGAAAAGTCATATGAACACCAAAGAAATTGTATTCATAGTTAAAATGCTTCTAAAATATAAATTTCCAGGCTAAGCTGGCTTCACTGGAAAGTTCCACTAAACACTTGAAGAAGAAATAAAGACCTATTCTACACAACATCTTCCTAAAATACAAGAGAGACATTTCTCAGAAATTAAACTGTTCCTACTGTCTGTATAGTAAATCCCAAGGAATCTTTAAAAAAAAAAAAAAAAAAAGGTACCTAATGTTATGGGCCAGGCTATATGGACAATGACCAAACAAGACTCCATCTTACCCTGTGACTCCACATCCTGTAAAAGCTGCTTCTTCTATGGGAAAGCCTAGTCTCTGTATCCATCAATAGTTGCTTAGCAAAGCATGTTTGGCAACACAAAATGGCCATTCTATTTTTTTAAAAGATTTTTTTAGTTGTAGTTGGACACAATACCTTTATTTTATTTATTCATTTTTATGTGGTCCTGAGGATCGAATCCAGCGCCCCACATGTGCTAGGCAAACACTCTACCACTGACCCACAGCCCCAGCCCCACAAAATGGCAATTCTTATACAATGTAAAATTGTTCTCTCTTTGGTTCTCGTTTTTCTTGGACAGTGTACCCTATCAGAGATTGATTGTCTAGGTGTTAGTAACCATTCTTTAACTTGTACTCAACTAGGGATATTTTTACCCACTCCCACTTGTGCTTATGATTTTAGATCTCATGAGTTTGTTTTATGGTTTTGAACCACTGCAACAGCCAGTTATGATTAATATGGTTTTGGACTATAAAATGTGTACTCAAACCCCAGAAGGGGGTCAAAGGGTAAAGACTTGTTTTTTTAGGCCATTCATAGCATAGTCCAAATCCACTACAGTGTTCTAAAGAAAGGGGGACAGGAACAGTTGTACTTTTAGGCTTTTGCTCATGTTATTTCCTCTTTCACCAACTCTCTCTGGTCTACCTTTAAGATAGTTACCTTTAGCCAGGCATAGTACTACACAACTGTAATCTTAGTGACTTAGGAGGCTTAGGCAAGAGAATCACAGTACCCCAGTACCACAAAACAAAACAAAAACAAAATACCACCCTCTTTATGACTTTGGGTAGGTAAATGAAATACTATTAAATAATTATATTAATTATGATGCATAGATGAGGAAATATAAGGTATTTTTATAAAATTGTGCCTCACAGATTTTAATAGTACCTGCCCTCTGATACTCCTTGACCTTCCTCTTATCTCTATTTCTGGAAAATGAATCTATTACTCATCAGTATTGCTAGAATTCTCAAGAGCTTTAAAAATCACCTATTACAACTGAGTATGTATTAATAAACAGAATATAACCAATTCCTTTCCTAATGTGAATCCTTCCTTGTATTTGAGATTTTAAATGAATGGGAATAACTTCACTTAATTAACTTGAAAGTCAACTATAGCAGACTCCACACTGTGAGTTAACAAAACAGGCAACAGACTTTTACCCTGACAACACTTTTTTCCCCCAGGAATCAATTCCTGTGTGGGTTGCTCTTAAGTTTGGAGCCCAAACTTGTCTCCTTCTCAGCTGTGGAGTGTTTTTTTTTTTTTTTAATTGATCACATTGCTCCTTCAATAATTTCCACTGTCCTCAGGATAAACAACCTCAAGAGACTTCATGAACTTGTCATGGCCTAAAAGGTCTCGTCTCACCTCCTGCCCTCCATTTACACACTGTTCAAGGAACACTTTGCAGTTTCCTACAAACCTTAGATTCTCAAGTTTGTCCTTTGGTGTCTCCAACTGCTTCTAACTATCCAATTCCTTCAAGACAGTTTCTATAAATATCTTGTTCAGAAAGTTTCACTGATCCCAAATATAGATTCGATGCTCCTTCTATATTCACCCACTCCCAATTTGGAAATGACTTTATTCTTAATTTGATTATAAAAGACATGTTTATTGAAAAGTTCTTTGGGGAAAGTACATAATATATGATAAAATGATTGAAAAGCACCTACTCCAACAGGCAATCACTGCCAAAATTAGACATATATTTCCAAGTTCATAACACACGCTGATTTGTACCTTACATACTTAAAAGTATATCCTAATTATTTTCCGTGTGAATACAAGTGGATTTATATTGTTTTTATTTGACTGTACTATTTTTCACTGTATGAGAATACCAACTAGTCAACTCTGTTTGTAGGCTATTAGATTTACCATTTTTTAATTCATTATATCCCGATCTTGGTTCTATTATTAATTTTTTAAAGAAGAGATTGTTTACGTATCATTTTTTAATTCCTGGGGCCCATTACAGTTCCTATTATACAGTATTCGTTAAATGAGTTTCATGTAAACGAAGAACTTAACTTTTTGGTTAATACTGGGAGTTCAATAATTTGATGGTCACATACAAGCACCAAATGCAGATAGTTATTTTCTTGATCCTAACTGTAAATAGTCTGTTGAATGAATCAACGAATCAAAAAAGTAATACAGCTCCTTTAAATTCTGGAAAAAGGGGCAAGACATGTGCAAACAAAACACTGATACAATGCTACGAATAACTACGAAGACCGACTGGTGTCTTTCAGACCCTTGCAAAAGAAAGAAAGCACGACCTTGAGGCTCCAGTAATCACAGAGTGGGTTGATGGCTCCTGGGGCCAGGAAATTAACCAGAATGAGACTAAGGTCGTTGGATACGTTCCGGCCGCCCGCTGGCTGCCCTCTCCCCGGACAGTACCACTAACCCCTTAGCTTTTTCTTGGCCTCTGCAAAAATGAGCACGATAACACGGTCCTGGAGTTGAACGCAGGGCAAAGTCAGAAGCCAAGCTGCAGATTTTGCGTTGAACCAGCGCGGAAGCCAGCGACACTACAACGTCCCGCTGCGCCTGCGCAGAACCGCCAGGCCCACCGAGGCTGCCTGAGGGACTTTAGCACATACTCACCCGCCCAGGAAATTAGGCGAAGACGCTCCGCCTGTGTGCCCCGGCACCCAGACCCAAGCACTCTTAAAAAGCGACCCCCAAAGAAGTTCAGCTTCCAGCCTCCCCACATAGTGGCAAAGGGTCCCACTTCTTTTCCGGTTCCTCTCTCCGAAGATCCCCAATAGAAAGGTTCCGAGACCCACTCGCGCCATCTACTGCCGACTTCTATGATTATTTTTATCATGAACGTGTTGCAAGTTCTTTTGAACATCTAGCAAATTGTGAATGCAAATGAAACTATAAAATGCTTCCAATAATATAAACGGTCGTCTCCTGTATAACCTCTGACTATTCCTATATGACCACCCGAAAACCTCATAGTTAAGTATAAAATCATGCCACTACTTTGTGCTTTCATTCCCTTGTAGTTCTAACAAATGTCTCCCCAAGGGCATTTGTCTCCATGTAAGACACCGACCCTAATGATTAAAATCACGAAAAGTATGGAAATACTTATTCTTTACGTGTAACAGCTTCCCTTTCAAAGGCTCTCGAATGTCAGAGGGCCAAGATTCTTAATTTATGTTGTGTTTTGTGCTGGGGCTTGAACCCAGCAGTTTTACCACTGAGTCGGCAGGACCTTGCTAAATTGCCCACGCTGGCCTAGAACTTACCACGCTCCCGTCTCAGCCTCCAATATAGCTAGGATTACAGGTGTGTCACCATGTCCAGCTCAAGAGCCCAAACTTTTAAATTTCTGCAAATGACATAATCTCCTGGACAGGATTATGTATCCGAAGACATTCAGCCTTGCTAAACTTCCATGTGGAGCTACGAATAGTGGTGACGTTTTTGTTTTTTGTAATTTTTTTTTTGTAGTTGTAGATGAACAGAATGCCCTTATTTTTATTCATTTATTTATTTTTAATGTGATGCTAAGGGCTGAATCTAGTGCCTCACACATGCTAGGAAAGCGCTCTGCCACCGAGCAACAACCCCAGCCCACATTTTACTTTTGAATATATAAAAGGCCTTTCCTTAGGTGAATGTTGATAAATTTTCAATGTTGAAGGTAAAAATTTTATTCTATCAGGCAGATCCAAATAAGTAAAGGTTCTTTGACCGAGTAAAGTTTGTTACTCAGGAACAGTCTTTCCACCTATGGCTTCTGAGCTAAAATATTGACCTCCTCTTTGACAGTGGATGCAGGCTTTTCAGCTGCTATGTCTTCTTCAGATTTCCTCTCCCCTTAGATACATGACCATATCTCCAAATGAAGGCAGAAAACTCTGCACAAAAGAAAATTCAGCATGTATTATACATATTTGTTGAAGTGACAGATTCAAGGGAAAACCAAAGTGCAAATATGGATTTAAAGTTCTAATGGTTTTATTTGCACCATACCACACGGGTTTCAAAGCCTTCCCAGTTCAACAAAGGCATCAATGATTTGCCTGAATACTGACAGGAAACAATGGCTTTTTGAATCATCAGAACTAGTTTGGCCCAGATACGAAAGAGGGTCATGGTACTTTTCTCTACAAACATCAACAAAAGGTTTTTCCAATGATCCTAAACCTCAGCTGTGTTGGAAACAAAGTTGTGTTGGCTGTAATGCAGTGTATGGTTAGTGATGGGGATTATTTTCCAAGTATCTCTACGGTCTCACCCATAAACCTATTGTAAACTAGAGTTTACTAGTTTATTTTCCTATTTCGCTAGAAAATTCTAATACCTATCCAATATTTCATAATTTGGCTTTATAATTTTATTGTAATAAACTTTTAAGGGAAAAGTGCTTCCTTAATGGTTAACAAAGTTTTATACTTTTGAAATGATATATTCCTACATCCACTCTATTTAACTGGTGTATTTACTCAAAATTCTACAAAAATTGGTAATTTAAAATAAATGTATCATAATTTGCACTATCACAATTAGAATGTGACAGATTTAACTAATGTACAAGAAAACTATGGATGATACCTGGTAAACTTTTATAATACAAATGTAATGCATATTATGTATTATGTGCATAATTTGATAGCTAATAAAAGCTCACTTTTGCTTTTAGATTTGACACTACAATCATATTCTACTTAAAACTGAAGCACTTGGGCTGGGGCTGTAGCTCAGTGGCAGAGGGCTTGCCTGGCACATGTGAGGCACTGGGTTCAATACTCAGCACCACATAAAAATAAAAATAAATAAAGGTATTGTGTGTGTGTGTGTGTGTGTGTGTGTGTGTGTAAACCTGAAGCACTTAAGGGCTAGAAGAGAACATCTACTTTGTTCCTTATACAAGCTAAAGAAATAGAAGTCCACAGTAATTTAGTGATTTTCCTAAACATCAATTTAGCAGAGCCAGGTCAATCCAATAACTCTAATGTTACTTCCATACTTAACTATACTCAGTACATTTTAGAAGTTTGAAAAATTAAAGTACGTTTATGTAGGAGGGGGAAAAAAAAGTTTAAATGTAAAGGTGTCCATAGGCAATATTATAGGAACTTTGGGTCTACCACAACTCCTATGTAAAAATTCCCAAATAAAAATTTTAAAACTCAATACCATTACAGTTCGTATGTTTCTTTGAAGCAACAATTCACACTAAAAATGGACTATGTTTGAAAAATTTACTATATAATACCATTAGAAACATGCTAACAAAAGGTAAGTCTACAATGGTAGAAAACATGTACACTAATGAGATTCCACACCAATCTTTATTTATGTTTTTGGGGCCTGTGACAAATCTTATAATTATCTCTTCTGGATTTCACTTTATTCTCTTAATGGTGTGGTTTACCCCCCACTTCACAAAAATCAAGTATGATTAATACACTAGAAATATTTTTAAAGAGAATTTCTTTAAAAAGACATTTTTAATAACCAAGGCAGAGCAATGACTGTCTCAAAAAATGAATTTATAAACTTTGTGGTAGTGTCATTTTAGAAAAGATTTCATAACCAAACTACACATCTAATTATTAACTTATAATGTATAAGTTATAGCATTCACCTCCTAAACCATAGAAGGTGATTATAAAAATCTTACCACTAGAGGTAAACACTTCATCACATGTCAAGGAAGTGATTTCTCTAAATTTTCCATAAATATATGATTATTTAAATACATGAAAAACTCAAAAATTTTTAATTCTTTTTAAAAAAAATATTTATTTTTTAGGTGTAGATGGACACAACACAATGCCTTTATTTTTATATAGTGCTGAGGATCGAACCCGGGTCCTACCGGTGCTAGGCGAGCATTCTACCGCTGAGCCACAATCCAAGCCCCAAATTTTTTAATTCTAACACTGATATTCCTAATAAGAATCACAAATATCATGATGGTTAAAAAAAAAAAAAAACCCTACAGATTTAACTGATAAGAATCTTACAAATTAGGGCATAGCAAATAAAATTATCAAATACTACTTTTGGCTCTAGTTCCTCCTATCTTGTCCAAAAATGTGTATATCATAGCCAGCAGAATTTTTCTGTAGAATTTTATTTTGAAAATAATATTTCACTTGATGATTAATCTAAAAAACATCTTAAGATATGAAAATGTTATACAACTTATCTATTACAAATTAATCAGATAATTCAATTAGGTACACTTCAATTAGCTTACCTACATATAAAATATTGCACATTTTCCTTTGTCTCCAGATATGATTGATGTTTAAACTATATAGAATTTCAAACTAAGTTATTCTGTGAAATGTCAACTTTATAAGAACTAAATGCACTGTAAACAGCCATTTTGGTAAACATGCATTTATTCACAGTTGATTTATTTCCTTTAGATAAATGCGTAACTGCTCAAAATTATTTAAGAACCTATGTAGAGGTACAAGAGCACTATACAGATCTATTTTTTATCTTCATTGTGAGGAAACACTGACCTTGGCAAAAATCTGGCATTATTTTTCAAATGAACTATTGCTGGTAAAGAAGGCATACTTTAAAACACTTTTGTGTTCTGCACTTGCTTTTTCTTTTTAAAATTAAAATTTAAAAGCATTTTTCAGAGATTCATCTATCACTGCATAAGTGCCTAAAAATAAAAAATGGACCCTGAAAACAGTTGAGCACTTAAGTTAAAATACCTTGAGAGCCCCATTCTTCTTATAAGTTGGCTGCCTTAAAGTAAACCACCCCAATGATCATAATTACTATTAACTGACAAAAATCAGACAATTTTAATGTTATGTAATTGACACAAACCTGCATAAACACCATTTATCCACTGAGTTGAGGTCATATTATACTTTAAAAATATAAATAAATATATTGAATTGTAAGTCCTATTATCTATAGTAACCCCAAGGTGTTTAAATATACTTGTAAAACAGAAGTGGACTGTAAAATATAGTTCCAGAGTTGACCATTAATGTCAAATACAATCATTCATTACAAATAACTACTGGTGCACTGGCTTGATTGATTCTAGCAATTTCATTTTACAGGAGTGAACCATTATTTAGTACACATAGAGAATATATTACTTGAAAATCCCCAAAATAAGAAGTTTAGAAAGCTGATTAAATCCTTCCAAATGAAAAGTAAAGGTCTATTTCTGGCCCTCTTCCATACCCTTAAAGTTAGAAATTGACAAAAGTCCATGGGCACAATTTACAAACTTTGACAAACTACTAAGTTAAAACCGTTTTCTTTGGGGGAAGTGGGAGGAAGTACCTTTAAAACCTGTTATACAAAATTCCAGCTGCCTTTTTATAAAAGTACGTTCCTTAGATTAAAATCATAAAATTACGGTGCAAGAGTTTAACAAAAATGAACTAAAGAGCTTTATTGACATCACAGTACATTCAATAATAATTTTAAGAACATTACAGCTGAAAGAGAATGGCATGTTTATAGTCTTATTATGCACTATTTTTTGAAAAAAATGTAATACAAAGAAATCCTATTAAGTAACTTGGAGCAGCATTTGGGAAAAAATACACCTATTTACAGATTAAAAAAAAAAAAAAAAAGATTCTGGTTTCACCTACACAGCCACAATGTGCCTCTATAATGAGACAAGCCCTTAAAACTCATGGAATTTTTTAAAACAACATCATGGCATTCTTGCCACATCATTCCTCAGCGCTTACGACGGGGAGGGGTTGTTGATCTGGAAAAAAACAAAGGGAAAAGACAAAATTTAAAAATAAAAATGTGTTTGAAATTAAAAATCTGCAATTTAAAATAAATAGTATTATATAGGATTTCTAACATTATTTAAAACTATGATCATTTATCAAGTACCAAGTACCAAACTGAGTTTATTAAAGAGAGAGAGAGAAAGGACACTTTCAACTTTGAATAAATTCAGTCAAATTTTTTTTAAAAATCAGACAAAATACTTTAAAAAGTATACTACCTTGATCGGGACTTAGACTTGTGTTTGCGGCTTGCCTTCTTACCAGACCTTTGAGATTTCTCCATGGATCGCGATCGACTATGTTTAGGCTTCTTAGCCTTCTTTTCTTTGCTACTTCCTGGAGATTCAGAACTGCTCCTTCCACTAGAATCAGAGCCTGAATGCTTTTTACTATCTTTGGTAGTACTTTTCTTACTATCCTGTCTAGAATCATGTCTTATGATTTTAACAGATATAGAACCACTCCTAGAGAATGTTCTTTCACTTTCTCGTTTCCTTTTTAACCTATCATCTTGACTACTGAATTTAAAATCTTTTTCTTCCCTTTTTTGTTTCTCTTTTCTTTTATCCTGTTCACGCTCCCTTTCCTTATCTTTCTTTTTCCTATCTTTATCTACACTTCGACTCCTTTCCTTTTTCCTCTCTTGTTCTTTAGCCTCACCTTTATGCTTATGACTGCTCCCACTAAGATTTCCACGTTGATCCTCAATTTTACGCCTATCTCGACTCCTACTGCGACTGGAACGACTGGTTCGTCTATCCCTCGAGCGACTTCTACTTCTACGTCTCTCTCGGGAAGGACTCCGATTTCGTCGTCTTTCTCTTTCAAGGCTACTTCTATTAGATCTTCTCCTATCTCTAACCTTAATCCTAGCCCTATTAGTCTCTATTTTAATTCTGCGAGAGTAGCTTCTACTTCTGCTACGTCTAGCTTTAGTTGTTGGAGATCTACTCCTACTATGTCTCTTTTTCCTTTTAGGAGAAGAAGACCGAGAAGATGTGCGACTACTACCTGAGCTAGAACTGTATGAAGAACTAGAGACAGTACTACTAGTACTACTAGTTCTGCTATTGCTACTGGAACTACCACTACTAGAACTTCCTGATCTACTCCTTCCTTGTTTCTCTTTTTCTTTATGCTCTTTTTTTGGTTCTAAAACTGATGTATTTTCATTCGGAGTTCTTTTCTTTTCATTAACCAGATCACCATCTGCTTCTCTTGCTTCTAGCAGTGATAAACTATTTTGCTCTTTATGGATAAATTCATTCATCTCTTTTGCAACCCTTTCTGTTTGTTGCTTTTCTTCTGAAACAGAAAAAGACAAAAAGGCTATGAAAAGTTGAACTTAAAACAAAAAAACCTATACTACCAAATTTCAAGGTATCAGGTTCTAACAATAAAGCAGCACTATTTAATAGAATTAGTATATAAACAACATAAGAAATTCAAAAATTTTCTAGTAGCCACATTAAAAAGGTAAAAAGAATCAGAAGGAATTAATTAGAATGTTTTATTAACCCAATATATTAGAACTGAATATTCTACTTTTTTAATGTATAATTTTTGAAATCTAGTATGTATTTTATACCTTACAGCACCTCTCAGTGTGGGCTAGCCACATCCCAAATACTCAATAGCTACATGTTACTAATTAGCTACCATTCTGGTAGTCACAAAGAGTATTAAAGTGTGGAGATGCATATGAAGGGAAAAAAGTCTTCCCTTTTGTTCAATTACAGCAACTTAAGGAAAGTAAGTGATTCATAGAAAAATTTGAGCAGCTAACTCTTAAAAATCATCTTTAAAAATTGTCTACCATTTTTCAAAAAAGAAATTCTAATATTTTCTTTCATTATTCCTAGTATTATATAAACCCTTAAAAGCTGTCCTCAGGTAAAGTATTTTAAATAAAAAATTTCTAGGCCTTCTTTCCTTATGCCCATATATCCAACCTACTTGTCAATAGTCTTACAAATAACATTCCTCCACTTAAAAAATATCTTCTTTTTCATTTCAACAATTTTAACAAGAAATAAAGTTGCTCTAAATAGATTAGCTTACAGCCACTGGAATGAATGGCTCCTAAAACAATGAAAAATTTGTGACCTTGGTTTCAGTTATAACACATATTACTTATAATCTAGACTCAAAATTCATTCTATCCTGATAGTTTAAAAGATATACCTTCCATCTGTTTATCATGTAATAGCTGTTGCTCTTTCTCTTTTCTCCAAAAAGCTTCCTGTTTTTGCCGGATTCGGTGCCGCAATTCTTCATCATCAGTGTCAGATGACTCAGAGCCTCTGTCGCTCCTCTCATCTTCACTGTCTCCTGATCCGTAACCACCCAGTCCACCTGTGTGCATAAAGCTCAGTCTATCATATGAAAAAATTATGCTACCATTAAAAACTTTTTAAGGTCCGAGAAGAAAGCTCATTTTTTTTTATTGCCTTTTCCTGGAAGAATATGCTTATTCGGGGTGGGGAGAAGCATAAATTCAAATGTTTAAGGAGTTTTTTGAACACTGAGACAACTTTATATCTTATTCTTTCTGGGGTATTTTATATATTTTTCACCATTATGGAAACATGATAATGGCTGTTTCACTATCCACACTGGCCAACAAAACCATTTAACAGGGTAGTAATAAAGTCTCACTAAAGCTTAATCAATTCAACTATCTTAATAGAATTTATGATGATTCTGAAAATATTTCTAAAGTTAAATCTTTCATTGTCCAAAGTTTAGGAATCTCAGGTAGGATACTAAGCATTTTTTCCCTAAAATTAGTATACTATAATTCTCATTGGTACAAAACTGATATGACACTGAAACTACTCCCCACCCTGAAGTGATCTAAATAGTAACCATAACAAAACCATATGGGCATTTGGTTTTACCCAGTTCTCTTGTGCCTCACAAAAATTATGAAATGAAGATGTAGAAAAGGCAAATTCAAGTTTTAGAACCTTGATAATGTATCATGCAAACAGCAAATTCTGAACACATCACTACAGTTATCCTATGATAAGTAGACCCTTTTCTCTATGTAAAAACTTGACTTGTTGCAATACAATTCATATAAAAGCCATTAAAAGCATTAGTGGATAGACAAATGCCTAAGGTATGTATGCAATAATTCTGAAAGTGAGCTTAGATACTATCATGGCTAAATTATGACCTCTTAAGTACAAACTAATATATAACTATACATTTATACAATATACATATTGGAGCAATTAATGAGGAAATCCTTCATTCAACTTGCCCCAATAACCTACAATTAACCATTACATTTCTAATAGTCCAACTATGACTGCTTTAAGTAAAAAAAAAATAAATAAGTAAGCTTTTTAGAAACTGATATAACCCTGAGATCTAGGTTTTATAAAATGAGTAAGAATAGTGCAGTTTCAATACAGAACATGTGGAGAAACAAGGTGATTTTTTTTTCCCTTTAGGCCCTCTCACAAATAAGGAAAACACTTACCGAGTCCAGAGAGGGAAGCCAGTGCACTGGACTGTGCCAGCTGTTTTGCAGGAGCTTTGTATCACATCAACAACAGGAACAACATGTTAACACAAATAGCCACGATTTCATAGTCATGAGAGTCTATGGTATTGTTAAATCTACTACTATTGCTGCTTTTTGGGGAGAGAAGAAACATTAAAAACATAACATTCATTTTAAACCAGTAGCATGTCTGGCTTTGAAATTTTAATTCTGATGTGAGCTGAAATTGGTTTATAACTAGGAAAAATGTTGACTAGTACAACTGTATTTCTGAGATACAGCACATAATTTTTGTCTTCAATATGTATTTAAAGTGTTACTAAAACCATGGGGGGATGGAAATCACTTGTTTCTGTGAGAATTATAAGTGATAAAACTGAAAATTCACAAAGTGCAAATTAAAAATTCATTGTCAAATATATTATACTATAAGTCATATATTGATACCATGGTATCTATAAAAAAAAAATCAGGTGAAATAAATTGAACATCAGAAATTTGCCACAATACATGTTATAGGACAATAGCATGATTGCTAATTTGTGTTTAGGTAGGTCAGATAAATATATTTATATAGTTTTAATATGGTATTTATGAATCTAATCTTTCCCAAAGAGTTAAAACATGCATGGAGATTATTTAAATATCTATATAGTAATTCAGAGGACAACAAAAGTCCAAAATAATCAATAAAACCAAAATTCCCCCAGAAAAACAAAACCAAGAACACCCACAATATACCTTTCGTTGCTTTCCGGTGTGCATCTTTGGCTACATAATAAATTTCTTCATCTGTGACATCCAACAGAATTTCAGTCAGAAGCATTTTTGTCAGCAACATCTAAGGAAAAATATTTATACACAGTTTCTTATTTATTATTATAGTTAAGAATACAGCTTGGTATTTTCAAAAAGTTAAAATTCAAAGCCTTTTTTTTTTTTTCTTTTTGGTACTAAGGACTGATTACTGATTACTACTGAGTACATTACCACTGAGCTGTTTTTATTTTTTTTCTTGAGACAGGGTTTTGCTAAGTTGCAGAGACTGGCCTCCAACTTGTGACACTCCTGCTTCAGTCTCTCAAGTCACTGGGATTATAGGTATATGTCACTTCATCAAGCATTTTGAGATCAGAGCAGCCATTCCAAGAACAATCTATCTTGAAAGCTATTCTAAAACACTGAAACTTAAAAATTCCAAAGTCATGAGGATTTAAAAAAAAAAAGTTCATCTATAGAGACATTGAATTCTTTGTTTGTTTTTACTTAATTTTTTTTTAATGTGGTCCTGAGAAGATTGAACTGTGTCTCACACGTGCTAGGAAAGCGTTCTACCACTTCTACCCCCAAACACTGAATTTTTATTCTAGAATGATACAAAAAGTTAATAGTTCCTAATAAAAATTTCTATAGGTGCTTTAAAATTAAAGAAGTTGGCTTTCGTTTAATAATACTGGTAAGCAGAACGGTATCAGTTTCTTAATCACTTCTTAAGGTTAGGTTAAAAATATCAATGGGGGAGAGGGCAAGGAAAGTTAAGGACTACCAGATGAAGTTCTTTTATTCTTGACTACCATAATGTAACTCATAAACTATAACAGCTATTTAAATAAGAGTTAATGTCATGTAAGATGGAGAGTATACTAGGTTTGGAGTATGAACTGGATTTTTGCACTGATTTGGCTACCAAAAATTGTTTGAAATGTAGACTCTTAGTCCCCTACCCTCTCTATATTTCTAATTTATTACCCATCTATTAAAATGAGAGCAGACTGAATTGGTATTATCTCAATGTTTCAAAGGCCTCTGGGAAGTACATCACATTATTCTCCTAATCTCACAAACTGACAATATACTTTATAGATAACAGAGGCTTTAAAAACTATTACAGGGGCTGGGGATGTGGCTCAAGCGGTAGTGCAATCACCTGGCATGTGTGCGGCCCAGGTTCGATTCTCAGCACCACATACAAATAAAGATATTTTTAATAAATAAATAAATAAATAAAAACTATTACAATGAAGAAATACAATTAACTCTGTTCAATCCCAGTGCTTCCTAAACTTATTTTTCTGTAAATTCTTCTAATCTTTCTCAGTATTTCTACTTAAAAAACAAAACAAGGGGCTGGGGTTGTGGCTCAGTGGTAGAGCACTTGCTTAGCATGTGTGAGGCCCTGGGTTTGAGTCCCAGTACCACATATAAATAAAGGTCCATTTACAACTAAAATAAATATATATTTAAAAAAAAAAAAAAAAACCTTAGAAAATAACAGATCAGGGCTGGGATTGTAGCTCAGTAGTAGAGTGTTTGCCTAGCATGAGAGAGGCACTCGACTCAACTCCTCAGCATCACATAAAAATAAAGGTATTGCCAGGCACAGTGGTATGTACCTGTAATCCCAGAAACTCAAGAGGCTGAGGCAGGAAGATCGTGAGTTGAGAGCCAGCTTCAGCAATTTAGCAAGGCCCTAAGCAACTCAGTGAAACACTGTATCTAATAAATAAGATACAAAAAGGGATGGAGATGTGGCTCAGTGGTTAAGCACTCCTGTGTTCAATCCCTGGTTCCAAAATAAATAAATAAAAATAAAGGTATTGTGTCCATCTACATCTTAAATTTTTTTTTTTTTAAGTAACTGATCAACATATTCTCTTGGGTCTCAACCAGTAAAATGCTGTTTAATTACATCACTGATATTAAGAAATGAGCTTAATAACTGCTTTATAGGTTATAATTTTGTGATTTATTTATATTATTCAAATTCTTTCAGGGTAGTAGTGGTAGGGGTATTATTTGAATCTGGTAGACATAATTTGCCTAGCAATCTACATATATGAAGAAATAGTTCATAACTGTTTCAGATTCCTCCATTTAAATGTTTTAGATAACCAATCAATTTTAAAACATTATACACAAATCCTTATACATAATAAGAACTTAACATAATACCATTTGATATTCTTTCTCTTCTTCAGTCATCTCTGGTTCACTTTGCTCTTCCTGAGGAACTGGAGATGGACTTCTGGTGATTTTTCCACTGCTTGCAGCCTCAATGTTTTCAGTATCTTCATCTTCCTCATCACTATCCTACAAAAATAGTCCAAATTGATGTATAATATAAAATCTTTATGAAAAATACAAAACCTGAAGTTAAAGTTGATAAAAACATACAAGTGAAACTGCTCTCTGAATTACACTGTTTTTCTTATTTGGTGCTGGGATCAAACTCCTGGATGCTAAGCATGTGTTCTACCACTGAGCACCCTTCTAGCCCCTCTAAATTACGTTTTTGTAGTACAGATTTCATTTGGTAGTTTAAAGTATAACCCATGAAGGAATGTAAAGAGGCTGATGAAAATCAATTATTTTTTCAATTTTCTTCTCTCTTTGGTCAATTTTGACCTTATTTTATAAATAACCAGAAAAATATCCCAGTCAGAGATAAAATTTAATTGATATCCATTATACAGGATGGCCCCAAAATAAGTGGCCTGTAGAATTTTAGATAAATGGACCATAGCAGTACTAGTCAAAATAATTTTTACAACTATATATTTAAGCCATTTACCTAACATGTGACTTAATATGAAAAATCCCTGGTCGGTTCCAAGATCTCAGCTTGCCCTGAAACTTAACAATAGACAGATATATAAGAAATTAGGTTTACTTGAGACTAAGAAAATGCCAGCAGTTTGTCTGTATCTCTTTATAGTTTTAGGTTTCAATGTCTAGATACCATACCCTAAAAAGGGGACCCTTGCTTAGTCAAAAACAACCGCAGCAGCAGCAACAAAACCCAAAAATCCCATTATCATAACTCCTTGCAATGCTATTAAGAAAAAGATAAGATAGCTATTTAAATACTATTATGGTAAAACTATTTGAACCAAGGGACAAATATATGCAATACAAACACAAAGGCATTTGGGAGGAAAATCTCCAATTATTTTAGGACACTAAAAGAAATCTGGAGAGCCACTGTGTCATATAAAGATCTTCTTTAATCTTTAGAAAAGGTAAATTCTAATGGTGTTTATTCTTTCTCATTTCATAACATCTATATAATAGATTTGGCAGAGGTGTTTTGGAAGAAAAATAAAATTAACCTAAGATCTTTGAGGAAAACCAAAGACCAAAATCCAGTTATCCTGCTGTACTTGAAACTTACCTTTGAAGTAGAAAATGGCCCTGAGGGGAAGACCCGTTTCCTGAGTTACATATTGAGTACTGATGTGGCTGTCATACCAGCTAGGAACATGTTAATGTTGAATAGAAAAATTCCTAAACCTCTCATGCCATTTAACTGATGAATTAAGATTAAAAGACTTAAAACACAGTGATTTTCACTACTCATGTCAAAAACAATGAAATATATTACATCCTTAGGTGTAAGTATTTACTCATAAGAAGGGCAGAGTTATTTCTCTATTGCCATATAAGTTTTTTTTTTTTTTTTTTTTAGTTGTCAATGGACTTTATTTTATTTATTTATATGCAGTGCTGAGAATCAAACCCAGTGCCTTATACATACTAGGCCAAGTGGTCTACCACTTAGCCACAACCCCAGGGCTTTACTGCTATTTAATATAGTTTTAGGGAGTCAGCTGAACAACAATGAAAGAATATAGATTTGTTTAGACCAGTTCAGAATCTGATGGAATAATCTCTTTCTGGAATAAAATGTTTTATAAACTCATAGTTCCTCTTTACTTCATCTACTTTTTTCCCATAATACATAAAAAATAAACCTCAGAATACTTACTGCAAGTAATGTCAGAAACATTAATTTTTCTTATAATTATCAATCTCAAACTTTTTGCACAGACAAAATTATCACAGGGAGTTTCTTGCCAAAGGATTCTACTTACAAATTTACTTCTTTGAGGTAAACGAGGGCCATCTCCTCCTTCAGCATCTTCTGTGGCCTTCTTTTCTTTTTTGGACAACTGTGAACGTTGTTGTTCCATTCTTTCTTTTTCTAATTTCTTCTGCTTCTCACGTTCCATTTTTTCAAGACCTTCACGAATCCAAGCTGGAAGAGTCCTGCGTTTTACTGCATCTGTTTTACACCAAAAAAATATATATAAGTCAGGTAAAAATCATAACAATTGAATTCCTTCTTGGTTTTCTACAAACTTGTGAGTAAAAATAAAACACAAAGCCCATCAATATCATGTTTTTCTTTAAAACCATCCCATTTTCAAAGTAATATCAAATATGTTCAAATGCTTATAATTTGCCAGGGCACAATAAAACACACACACACACACACACACACACACACACACACACACACACACATTAAACTGTCACCTCATTTAATCCTTACAAAAGTCAGAAGACATTACCATTATTATCTGATCTCTTTCATAGGTGAAGAAACTGAAGCTTAAAGAGATAAATGAATATGTATAAAGTTTAAAAGTCAGTAATATGTGTGTGGGTGAAATTCTATATTAAGTTGTTTCCTAAAATATGAAAGCAGAGTCAAATAAAAGCACAACTAAATTTTCACATTAAGAATTCATTAAGTTAAAAAAGCCATAATTAGAATATTCCTAAAATTTAAAAAGAAAAGACTTTAAATGTTCTAGTCAATTAAATGTTAGATGATTTGTAACTTTCCAGATAAAAGTAGTATTTATGTAAACTGGCACTGGCAATAAATTAGCTTTAAGGTTATTTAAAAATTGAAGTTTTCTACCAAAATACTTATGGAGAGTGAAATAATTAAAGGAAAATTAATTTGGCCACAATGTACCAGATGAACTGAAAGTAAAAAAAGAGCCAAGATGGAGAAGAGTCAGGTTTAAAAAGGGAGAATTGTTCACAGAACTGCATAATGTACTGAAATATCAACACTGAAGAAAACTGCAAGATTCTCTAGTCATCAAAAATTGCATTTTATCACAAAATACAGAACTTAAGGTAAATATTTAAAGACTATTCAAAATCTTTTATAAATCAGCATCTTTTGTGTAATTTTAAGGTTTTATATTATTAAAATGATAGGGTTTTCAAGCACTAAATTTTAACATATCAGAGGCATTAAAACAATTTAAGAAAATAAAGACACCCTTTTTACAGTGATAAAGAAATCATGCCAATTGTGGTTCAACAAACTTAAATAGCTACCAATTTGTGGAGGCTCCTGCTTCACAGGAAGTGCAATAGGTGAGCGTTGCCGATCCCTGAATGATGATGGCCTTTCTCTCCGATTCTGGGGAGGTGCTGGAGGTCCTGGAGGTCCTGGTTGCCAATAAGGAGGATGAAATCCACCTTGCGGTGGACCAAAAGCAGCCCCATGCTGAAAGAGTATTGCATTTTATTTTTCTTCAATTTAAAAAAATACACTCTCTGGGACACACGTGTGTTATGAACTGGGACAGTAGAAATCCATGTGTGCAGCAAATCCAAGAATTCCATGGTTCTAACATCCACCGATATTTCTGTAAGCCCCAAGAACCTAGGCTTACTTCTCTTAAGAAAGATAAAGATTTTTGCCTATTAAATGTAAAGAGCCTTCTAAAACTCAGCTGATACACTATTTTCAATTGTATAGAAGCCCTACTGGCACCAATACATGAAATATCAAATTTTCTTTTAATTAGAAAATATAGGAAATTTCTTGTCAATTTAAACTTTCTTTTTCTACTGAACTCAAGTTATTCCTATAATCCTGCAGAATCTATTTATGTATAAGCAAAGAAAGAAATGAATTATTACAGTAATTTTTTTTTTTTTTTGCAATTCTGCTATTTTTCAGAGGCTTTTCTAAGGCCTGTTGCCAATAAAGAAAATTCTTTGTCTTGTTAGCATGGGATTCACAAGTAAAATGGGTAAGTAGAATCTCTCTATCACTATGTTTCTTAAAAAAATAAAATAAAATAAAACCACCATATATGTATAGAAAGTGAGAGCATACAACCAGTATCTGGATATATATTAACTCGATCTCAAGGCAAATACATTACCAAATTTACCTTGGAATTAGTGAAATATTATATGGGGGTTTTCAAATTTTAAATCATGACAGCTCAGTTTATAAAGTAACAACTGCAATCAGTTACTTCAAAATGTCATCTAGCATTATAACTTATGGGTAGACCATAGCAGAGTAAATACAGAAAATAAAGTCTCACATAATAACACTATTCCCCATAGAGTTCTATGTCCCTAGGAATGAACTGGATGTTACAAAGGATATCATGTACAAGTCCATTAATATGTCATGTTGGAATGGGAAAACAACAACAACAAGAAAGCCACTAGAAAAGTCATAATTCTACATAGCAGAAGGACCTAGAGTTAGGAAGATGATCTATGTTCATGTGTATTATTAATGTCTTAAAAATAATCTATTATTGATAAATAATATATTCAACTGCTGTGCATTTTCTAAACTTTATTCAATATTTAAATGTATCACTTTGAAATTAGAAACAAAGCATCATGTAACTATTGAATTTATACATTTTTTAATTTTACCCAAAATTTCCTCTAATGTTTCTTACACTATTTTCCTAATCAAATAAAAAAATCAGAAAATAAAAATCTAATAATTTTAATAAATTGATAACTTTTCTGAGACACTGTACATGCTTATCTGTACAACTCTGAAAATTGAAACACATATCTTAGGTATTCTTGATGAGATACTTCCAAAAATGGATTACGTGCACATCTACAATATTAAAGCAACAAAATATCTTTCACCTGATAGTCAAACTGGTTCACTGGCCCCACTGCAAAATTATCGGGTGGTCCACCAAAGTTGTGATTGTTCTGGTTAAATATATGCCTGTTGTCAGGGGCAAATTCCCCACTGTCCTGACTGTTGCTGTCTTCAGAAGGAGGAACAATGTCCATTGGGCCTGGTGTTGGTGGCATCCATGGCTGATCTGGAGGGGGGTGTGGGGGCTGCTGATGCATTCCCCATTCTATTTAGGATTTAGGCATAAAAATATTCAACAGGGGGTTATAACAAAATCAACACAAATTTTTAAGATTTCAAGAAAGCTAGATTTTTCAGTAAAGAAACAGATTTTTTAAAAAACAATTTATGACTTCTTGGTCAAATTCCTTTTGTATATCTTACAAATAGGCAAAGAACTAAACTATCTTATAAATAATTCAAATGAGTTAAATCCATTCTAATTCACATCCTAAACAAATGGGAATCAAATGCCCAAAATTATTTTTAACGAATGTAACATAAATCCACAGAAACTTTTTGAATTTTTCTATTCTTGTTCAATAACACCATAAAAATAATACTTAAATTTTTATATAAGTTCTTTCTTCCATGAACACATTTATCCTCACAACATCCCTGTGAGGTAGGGGAAATCAGGTATTATTTTTGCCCATTTCATGAAGGGAAATTGAGGCACACAGATGTTAAATAACTTTACCAGGGTCACAAAAAAAACCAGTAGAGTAAAACTGGTGAATGGGGATGCCAGGGTGAGTCATTTATAAACTTGAACTTGGGGATTAAAACATTTTCAAACTTGAGAAAATTTGGCTTTCAGGAAAGCTAGAAATAAATCACCTCACAATATAAAAAATTAGAATATTTGTTATTTTTAAAATAGTGTTAGGGAATTCCTTCCTGTATTTCCATTTTTTATAGTAACATGAGAAACAATAAATAGGGAAAGGGGAATATGACTTCACCATCAGCATACCCAAATGAGAAATTCTTCTATAAATAGTTTAAAGTGATTATTAAAAAACAATAAAAATACAAGCCATGGAATTAGCCAAGGAATCTAAATCATACTGTGAATTAAAAACAAACAAACAAACAAAAAATAAAACAAACAGAAACTTATGGAAGATCTTCACTATCAGAAAAAAGGAAAGAGTAAGATGGGTGGATGGTAGGGGCAGAGTATATTTGACAGACTTATTTGTCACATAGTGACACAATTTTTCTTTAATTAGAGGCTAGACATGTACTCTGCCAGTGCTGCTTCTGAAAAGGCCAGAGGTTGCAACAGAGAGACAAAGAATGCTCTCTTCCCTAGATGCCAAGTGAGGTTTCCAGAGTGTTCCCAGCCCCTGTCAGCCTAGGAATGAAGAACCAAGAAAAGAATCAAACTGAGTGCCACAATGCTAGCAGAATGAGCACAGAATAATTTTAACCACTAAATGTCAAGGTCAAATCAAATTGAGACTGCCTATTCTTTAAAGAGCATTAATTTCAAGAAGTCATAAAACTAAGCAAATTAATTTACCATTAACCTTCACTTTATTTTAAAAACAGTCCTAAAATTTGGAAAATGTAAACAAACCTGGTTGCCACATTCTATTAAAATTGGAATCCCCTTGAAAATTCCCATGATTGTTTGGACCAGATTCCATTGCAGACATATCTTGTCCATTTGGCATCATTCCTGGTGGTTGTTCTACTATGCTTTGCTGTCCTGAAGCTTCTCTTTGGGCAATCCAAGCCTGAGCCAATGCTGCCCAGTCAATCTGGCCTAACGTAAATTAACACAGAATTTAACATTCAGAATGTAGGAGCTAAAAAAGAACAGTGCCTCTAATAAAACAAGCATCTCAGTTATTCCTTAATAAAACTTTAAAATTTTATAGAATGTTATACCTCAAAAGATGCTTAGAAACTAATCCATACTCAGGCCTCAGCATAATCTACTTAACATCTTCTAAAATGAACTCCACAAAGACATTTTAACCCATTACTCATACTAACTCATAGGACGTTAATGCCCTGCATCTTACTTTTACTAAATTTTTAAAAAGTTTCCCGTTGCCTCTTTTTAAACCACCATAAAAGTAATCAAAGTCAACCATTTCTTCCTTAGCATGTACTATATTCTTCTTTCCAGGCCTACCTTTGAGCCTACAGATCTGAATAAGTATAGTTATCTCTCCCTGCTCCTCTCCGGGTTGCCCTTCTTTAAGGCTCCCTTCTCCAGTCAAAATACACTTTCCTTAAAAACTTTGTAGTCATTCTTCACTCAAAACTCATTGTCCCTCACTATCTTGAAGGTCTCTTCACTTCTTCTCCAGCTTAAGATCAAATATTATTAATAAAACAAATAAAATAGAATGGGACACATCTTTTTCACATCTCAGTTCAGTAAAGATTAAATAGACAATCTCAAATACTTTCAGTGAAATTCAGATTTGGCATAATCTGGATGAAGTTAAATTTAGCATTGTGTATCTCTAACTTTCAAAATCTGCAACTGCAACCTAGCAAACCTAGCTCTTTTACTTAAAAAAAAAATTAAACAAGTTAATAATGATATGTACACAAAATCATATGTTTCAAAAATAAAAAGCTGTAAACAAATATCCAAAAGTAGGCTTTGTTAAATTATAGTATGATCCTACAACAGAATGTTATGTAGATAATAAAAAAACAAATGGCATCAGATTATAAAGTTGGCCATAACATAAACAAATGTTAAAGTAAAGAAACATATGGGGGAGAGGGAGAAGCTCCCTATACTATTATTCTATATTTATATATGCTTGAAATATTCCATAGTGAAAAGAAATCTTAAAAGTGCTATGGTATAGCATACACTGAATTTGATCTAATTGTGTAAGATTCAGAATTAACAACAGGGGCTAGAGATATAGCCCAGTAGTAGAGTGTGTGCCTTGTATGCCCAAGGCCCTGTATTCTAATCCCCAGCACCACAAAAAAAAAAAAAAAAAAAAAAAGAAAAGAAAAAAGAATTAAAGTATGCTCTATTCAAGCAGTAAATTTTTTATTTCTTTGGAAAAACAACACACACTAATATGTAAAATCTTTATAAAGCTTTCTATCCTTGGGGGAAGTCTTTCAAAGAAAAATTCTTATTACATATGTTATGGCAAGGCTGTTAATGATAAAAGTTACATTTTGATCATAAAATGATTCAAAATGAATCCCAATTCTGTTACCTATCATCTCTCCATTTCTAAATACCCGCCCCACTCCTTATCAAATTCAATTTTTTCTTACTTGGATCCTGTTGATGCTGGAATGACTGCATCCATTGTTGTTGGTTCAAGGGCCATTGCTGCCAAGGCTGTCCTCCTTGATCCCACATTCTTTCTTTAAAAATATAGATTTTCTATTTTCAAAAAATTAAACATAGTTTAAAAATTACACTGCAAGTTCTTTAATTTTTTACCTGTACACACCAGAAATTATTATATGATGATACATTAATGTGATTAGAGCTCTAAAATTCTGATCAATATATTATCAGAGATGACTAGAATTTTTAGGTTGGTCAGAAAGAGTAGAAAATTTTATATCAATGCTCATGTTAGAGTTTGGTGGCCAAAAAAAGAAAAGCTCTAATCAACTTAGCTTAAAAAGGGTAAAAATATAAGTATATACAATTTTCTGGAAATCTGATTATTTTGAAAATTATACAGTTTTTATTCTCTCTCCAAATGACTCCTGAAAAAGAGTTAACTAAATAGCGATAGCTGATGAAGAAAGTTTCTCCTTATAATTATAGTTAATAAATGCAGACAGTGGAATAGAATTAGAAAACTGCCATAATGCCAAATCTAATAATTGATTCAGGAAAACTTGGAAGAAAAGTTGATGAGAAATCAAATTCACAGGTTATCAAAACACCATCCCCAAAGATTGTGAGGTGTCTATGAATGGAAGTACTATGTTCCCAAAATCACTATGGATATTCTTACCAAAAATGTTTAACTGAACTAAAGAAATTATAGAAGATTAAAAAAAATGACATAAACAATATCTGAAGAAACAATCAGACAAAGCCAGAAAGTGAGAGAATCTCCAAGACCTGGTTTCTTAACATGTTAAATAGATTGAAAAATTGTGAGTGGGTCACCATAACTAGCCTGCTTTTTTGTAAATAATCCTGAAAACTTTTCTAATAAAAAATTTTTAAATTCCTACAAGTCTGTTATCTTCGTACTTTATCATTGATATATAACCCTATTCAAGAAAAGAGAGATTAGATCCTTCTCTCTCCCCCTGCACAAAAGTCAATTCAAAACAGATTAAAGATCTAGGAATTAGACTAGAAAACTATGTAACTCATAAAAGAAAATGTATACAATAGGCAATGTAACAGGCAACAACTTTCAATAGGATCCCTAAAACTTAGTAAATAATGCTAAGAATTAATAAATGGGATGGCATCAAATCAAACAGCTTCTGCACAGCAAAAGGAAACAAGAATGTGAAAGAGAACCTACAGAATGGGAGAAAATTTTTGCTAGCTATTTGTTGACAGAGAATTAATATCCAGAATATATAAAGAATCCAAAATAAGTTAACACCAAAAACAACCCAATTAATAAAAGGGCAAATAAATACTTCTCAAAAAAAGAAATACAAATGGTCAACAAATACATGAAAAAAATGTCCAACATCATTAGCAAATTAGGGAAATGCAATTCAAGTCTTTGCAGTATTCTCAGAACGTTATATAGTTCTGCTAATGGTTGATTCTGATTTCTTTGTGGACCAGGGGTGGTACATTTCTTTGTTATCTCGATTACTTTAAAAGGCAAAACTACTTGTCTTCTGGTTATACTAATATAGTTTATTGCATCACTATCAGTAGAAGAAAACAAAACTAGTACTACATAGTACCACAACTGGAATTGGACATCAGTTCCAAGCTAAATATACTTCTTTTTTAAATCTTTTCAGTGTTTCTTTCTTCTACCCGCACTTCCTCCTTTATTTCCCAACTTTAAAGTCCTTTAAACTAAATTAGTCATCAGAGCCCTCAAAAAGTAACTTTAATTTCAGCTTTAATTAAAGTTAACAAATCAAAAGGAAACACCAAAAAGCAATACCAACTGCTATTTTAACTGACTCAGAGGTTCTCCTTCTGTTTGAAACTTAGGTTGATTCACCTAACAGCACAAATATTTATATACTGGGATGGTGTGAGGGAGAATGTGTATGTTCTTAGATTATGACTATTACAATAGAATAAATTTCAGAGATACAACATAAAAGTGTGATTATTTCCACATTAAAGTTTACTTTCTGTTAATTTGATAATGGGGAATTATTTTACCATTATAAAGTTAAGGAAAAGAGATACACTGAAAATAAAGAGGCAAAGCTTCTTAAAATCTTTTTTTTAAAACACTTTCTAAATATGTTATCTACTTGAACAATCCATTCACCATACAATATAATGTCAAACAATTTAGAAAATGAGAAAAAGGGGACAAACATTTGAAAATATTTTTGTCTGCCTGGCATTAACTTAAATGGTATAAAATAAGGTAATAAAATGCATTAATTCAATTTTTTTTCGGTGGTACTCAGATTGAATCTAGGGCCTCAAACATATGAGGCAAGCACCTTACCACTGAGCTGCATCACCAACCCTTTGCCTCAGCCTCCAAAGGAGCTGGGATTACAGGCATATGCCACTGTGTCCTAGCTTAATTCAGATTTTTCTATAAAAGTCTGTTTGAAAATTAGCAAAGACAAACAAAAACAAAGAAAAATTTTTTCCATCTTTTCATTTTCCACACAGTACAGGACAACACCAAATGAATAATAACTGAGTGGTCTTTTTGTTTATGGTACTTCTCAGGGTTAATAAGAAATTTGTTGACCTATATTTATGAGAATGAATATGCTGACCTAAGCACAACTTTGCTGTGTTTCCAAATTTTAACAGCTTTTATCAGAATTCAATGCATGGGGGCTGGGGTTGTGGCTCAGAGGGAGAGCGATCACCTAGCATGCATGAGGCACTGGGTTCGATCCTCAGCACCACATAAAGTAAAATAAAGACACTGTTTCCACCTATAACTAAAATATAAATATTAAAAAAAAAGAATTCAATGCATGGATTTTTCAATCCTAAATTTTACATGATGTAGACAGAGTTCTATAAGGTGCCTACTGGAGACGCAAACAGTAAAACCACATTAATGATTAAATAGTATATATAACTACCTACACCATTTCTGAAACATAAATTTTCTTTTCCAGAAATCACTAGTTTCTCTTTCTTACTCAAGTTTAATAGATGTCATGAATTTTTTCAGTTCTCCTTTTAACTTTTCTGACCATCACTTGTCACCTAGACTTTAGAGCATAAGCTGTGGTTCATGATGCCTACTTCTACCTATTTATTAGCTATTAGAACATGGCAAAATAGTCTTTAATCCTTGAATTCCCCTCCTATAACAATGGAAGACATAATGACTACCTCATAGGATTATAGTGAAAAATACATGTAAACAGCACAGAAAGTTCCAATTAGTGGTGGTTAGTATCATTACCAGCACTTTCTCAGTATACTTCTGGTAGCAGGTTTTTAAAAAAAGTTGATAAAGCCCTTTTTTTTCCTATTCAAGTGCATTTTATTCTCCAGAAATAATCTAAGACTTACACAGATTTTCATTTTATCTTTGAAAGAACTCATTTGTCTTATTGTCCCGACTTCTCACCAAATCATAGGTTGATTTAAAAAAAAAAAAAGTGCCAGGCATAGCTGCATATGCCTATTATCCTAGCAACTTGGAGGCTGAGAGGGGAGGATTTTAAGTTCAAGATCAATCTGAACAACTTACTGAGATCCCCCTCCTAAAAATAAGTTCTAAAAAAGAACAATAACTTCAGATATATACCTATATACCAAGAAGTTTTACTTACATAATTTTGACTGTCTGATTTGTTTTACTTACAGCCATTATTCTATATTTTTAAACCAATCACTTATAATGTAACAATTGTTATGTATCCCAAAGCTTTTCTTTCTGAAAGTTCTTATGGAAGCTACTATTCAAGTATAGTGTTTGATAAATTTAAGCCGAGAAAAATGGAAAAAAAGATGTGAAACTGTGAAAGGCAGAGAAGAATTAAAAAAAAAAACAGAAAAGAAAGTGACAATAAAAGATATGGAAGAAGTTAGAAGTTAGGAGCTTGGCTGGGATTGTGACTCAGTGGTAGAGTGCTCGCCTAGTATGTGCGGGGCCCGGATCCTCAGCACCACATAAAAATGAATGAATAGAATGAAAATATTGTGTCCAACTACAACAAACTAAATATTAAAGAAAATAAAAGCTAGGAGCTACTAAGGTGCTTCAATTAAATTTGGAATTAAGAAACTTGATCTGATTACCAAGAAAGACTCCTGGATGAGGGTATAGATATAAAAATGAACCAAAAAATGTACCTCTATTCAGTTATTTAAATGAATAAGGTAGATTTTTATGACAGATATGTTACAAACCATGTTAGTGGTGAGAAAAATTTACACAGACACATAAATAGAGATCAGGGATATTTGATTTTTGATTATGATGTTCTGCACTCTTTGAATGACTTTATCATGAGTGCACTTTTCAAAATATATAGATTTTAAAAGATATAAATCAAGGGAAGCTGATGAGCATAATCAATAATGACTGATATGGAAAATAAAAATTAAGACAAAAATCACCTAACTAAGAGACACTGGGCAAATCACCAGACTTTTATTTCATTTCTTATAGAGTAAATTTCTATAATTTAGTCCAAAAGAGGCGCCTTGGTCATGAAAACTAAATTTACAGTTACATTAAAGATTGTAGAAAAAGAAGAGATTTTAGGCAAAGATCATATATATTTAGATATTTAATATTATCTCTTATATATATTTCAATATAACTCAACACTTGATAAAAGGTTTCATTATTTTTTAACTAAAAAACAAGTACCTAAGAATTTAGGCGTCCTATTCTTTCTTTCTTCATTTTCACCATAATATCGTCACTATTAACAAACTTAACAAATACAAAATGTGAAAAACAGAAGTAGTAGAAAAGCCTTTCACTGAGTAATCAACAGATAGACATGCTTTGTCCCTCAGTATCTGTGAGGGATTGGTTTCAGGATGCCCATGGACACCAAAATCTGTGAACTCTCAAGTCCCTTATCCAAAAAGGTGTAAATTTGCATATAACTAATGCACACCCTTCTATATACTTTAAATCATCTTGATATTACTTATAGTACTTAATACAATGTAAATGCTATATAAAAAGTTGTTATACTGTATTGTTTAAATAATAACAAGAAAAAAAAGTGTCTATGTTCAGCACAGATGTTATTTTTTCCCCCCAAGTATTTTCAATCTGCAATTGGTTGAACCCACAAGATATGGAACCCACTGATAGGGCAGACTGTGTTTTTAAATTCACTGTGGTTCTTTTGTTCCTTGGTTTGTTCTGCACTGCTGCAGATCAAACCCAAGGGCCTCCAAAATGCTAGGCAAGTGCTCTAACTTAGCTACACCTTCAGGATCACTTTGGTTTAATGACTAGCACAAAAATATAGCATTGAAAATGACGTTTACAGTTGGTTTAATAATGATTTGGAAAATGTTAGTAACTGTTAAACATGGGACTTCTCTATACTTCTGCATTGTTTGAAATGTTCCTTAATAATTTAAAGATGATATACACAGTACTTCTTACAGGGAAAATGTAATGAGTTTTCATATTTTTGTCTTGGCTTAAAGAAGAATCTTCTTGAGGGGAGAAGAAATATCTTACAATATCTGAATTCTCTACACTGCTCTGTCCATACTAAGTAGTTAAATACTCATTCACTAAAATGTTACCAAGTAAATATATTAATATTTGGTCATGAAAATGACATTCTAATACTGCTGCTGTCCTTTTATAACATCAAAATTCGACCCCAATCTATCTATACTTCCTTTAGACTTACTTTTAAAGATCAATAGACTCAACTTTTTTTAAACTTGAAGAAATTTGATGACTGATGAGTCAGATTGTAAACCTTTTTTTGAGAGTATATTTCTTCGCACGGTCAAGTTAACTGTAATATCCTTGGAAAATAATTGGGATTTGGGAAGACCAGAAAGATTTTTTAAAAAATCAAGGTTTATACCGCATCATCAAAACTATCACACTGCTACAAATAAAAAGCTTATGATTATCACCAGTGTTGCAGACTGAATTGAGTCTCTTCAAAAGTAAGTTGAAGTCCTACTCCCTCATACTTGTGAATGTGTCCTTATTTGGAAATAGTCTTTGCAGGTGTACTCAAGTTAAGATTAGGTTGTACTTAAGTAAGGTGACATCTAAACAAATGACTGGGTTCCCTACAAGACAAAAGACTCAAATACCCAGACAGAGAATGTCATGTGACAGACAATAGTGGCAGAAGTTAAAGTGAGGAGTCTACAAGTCAAGGCCAGGACTGACAGAAAGCACCAAAAGCTGGAAGAGTCAAAGAAGGAAGCTACAGCCCAGGGGAACACAGCTCTGCCAAATCTTGATTTCAGACTGTCTTTGGAACTGTGAAATAAATTTCTGCTGTTTTAAGCCATCCATCCACTTTGTGGTAATTTGTTATGATAACTCTATGAAACCAATAGTCAAGAAATGATCATTTAGCTTATTCCTTTCTGAAATGATTTTGTATTACAATCATCCTGTCTCTTGAGTTTCCTAAAATGACAACAGTTGTTAATATTTGCAAAGGTCACCCACAGACTGTGAGACAGAGATGAATGAGAATTAAAATTTGGTGTTTTAAAGCCCTCATGAATCAAATGCAAAGATATAGAACCAACTTGGGAGGTTGAAGCAAGAGAATCATGAATTCAAAGTCAGCCTCAGCGGGGCTGGGGTTGTGCCTCAGTGGTAGAGTGCTTGCCTAGCATGTGTGAGGCCCTTGGTTTGATCTTCAGCATTGCATAAATAAATAAAATATTGTGCCCATCTACAACTTTAAAAAAAAAAAAAAGTCAGCCTCAGCAAATTAGCAAGGCCCTAAGCAACTCAAGTGAGACCCTGTCTCTAAATAAAAAAGGTAGGGCTCAGTTAAGTGCCCCTGGGTTCAATCCCCAGTAAACACCTTCCTGCAAAAGACAGATAAACACACCTGTCCTTTTGATGCATATGGTAAAATTATTCTCACATCAAACATAAAGCTGAAAAGTCACAAAATACAAAGATCCTCTTTCCACCTGGCAGTTCAGTCTTACACACAAGTAACCTCAAAGTCAAAAAGAATTCATTTGTTTAATTTCAAGTTAGGTGGAAATGCCACTGGTAAAGATTATTCTTGAAATGTGGTTAAAAAAAATTGATTTGATTTCACATGCATTTTAGTATACAGTGAAATATTTTGCAGCTTGTAGTTCAAAAGAGGAACAGTACTAAAAAAACAATGCAGAATTGGATAGTTTGGTTCTAATGCCCCCCAAACTAGTAATAACTGAAAAATAAAGGCCTAAAGTGACAATTAGCAATGAGCATGTTTATGCACGTACACCTTAGTTCTATGTCATTTGTCAATAAAAGAACGATGAGTTCTTAGAGAAGGAGCTGATTCTAGGACTGGGGCAGGAAATATGTGACTGGACCATCTTATGGTGCCAAGAAATACGAAAGAGCTACAAAAAAAATAAATAAATAAAAGAGGAACAGTACACAAATTGAAAGAGCTGCCAATGGTCAAAGCTGAAACAATTTAAAAATCAAAATGAAACTATACTGGATTATAACAGATTATAAAATAAACATCCATGGGCCTACACTGACATAAACGTTTAATTAAGCTGGACACAGTGAGACGCACTTGTAATTCCAGCAACGTGGAAGTCTGAGGCAGGAGAATCCCAAATTCAGGACTAGCCTCAGTAATGTAGCAAGGCCCTAAGCAACTCAGCAAGACCCTGTCTCAAAATAAAAAATTGAAATTTGTTGAGGACATGGCTCAGAAGTCAGGCACCCTTGGGTTAAAGCCTCACTACCAAATAAATAAATACTTAAATAAATTAACAAACAGGAGGAAAGGGACAAATCCCCCATAGAGATTTCCAAATAAATTGTGAAAATACTCCACCCTAATGGAGGGGGAGAATAACTCTCCATTACTAAAGGTTATGCAAAGCAACTTCCTTCCAAAATGTATAGCATGGAAAGGAGAGAAGGAGGTAACTTAACAATGGTAAAGCCTGACAAACACTATCTCAGGAAGATGATCAAACTCACTATCAATATGTTAAGTCACACTAAGAGTATGTACTCTTTATATCATGTGATGAAAAGGGCTTTACCTCAGTGATCATCCTCCCCAAACCACTAACAGCATTTCAATCATGAGGAAAACATCTGGCAAATTCCAGTATACCTGACCAACACTCAAAAATGTAAAGGTTATTCTACAGAAGTATGCCAGGGCTGCCATAACCAACTACCACAGAATACTACTTTAAGCAACAGAAATATATTTCCTCATAATCATGGAGACTGAAAGTCCAAGATCAAAGCTTCAAGCAGGATTGATTTCATTCTGAAGCTTTTCTCTTCAGATTGTAGATCCCTCTGCATCTAAATCTCTTCTTCTAAGGAAACCAGTCATATTGGATTGGATTAGGGCCCATGAGAATGATATTATTTTACCTCTTTAAAGACCCTATCTCCAGGGCTGGGGCTAGCTAGGGTCAGTGGTATGGCACGTGAGGCACTGGGTTCAAACCTCAGCAACACATAAAAAGTTTAAAATAAAATAAAGGTATTGTGTCCACATACAACTAAAAAAAAAAAAAAAAAAAAAAAAAAGACCCTATTTCCAATATGGTCAAATTCTGAAGAAGTTAGGACTTCAACATATGAATTTTGGGGGACACAATTCAACCCCTTTTAGTCATAAAAAAAACAAAGCCTGAGAAACTCTCACAGGCCAGTGGAGACTAAAGGCACATGACACCTAAATGTAATGTGGTGCCCTAAACAGGATTTTGGTGAGAAAAAATAACTACAGTTTAAAAAACTAAGGAAATAGTAATAAACCACGGACTCCGTTAATAACAGTTTATCAATATCATTTCATAAATTGTAACAAAAGTACCACACTTATCAGGGAAGAAACGGGAAAGGAGGGACGATTATGTACTATCTGCTCCATTATTCTGTAAATCAAAAATTATTCTAAAATATAAAGTTTATTAATAACTTTTTAAAAACAGTCTCTCTCAAGGGCATCTTAAAAGAACTGATTTACTATTATTCTCCCGATAGCCCTTTTACACTTTACAAAAATCCCAGAGTAAAATCTTTTTGTTCATGTTTTGTTGTTTTCACTGTATTCAAATGAGAAATTTCAGGTTTACTTTGCTTTACGTGGTTCAGGGAGGGAAACAGATTAATAAGGGATTTTAAATTAGAATGTTAATTTAACAATTTAATCACCCAGAATCAAAATTTGTCCAAAGCCCAATTTAAGTGACGATACTATTCACTATAAGACGAAAACAACCGAAATATACTACCTGTTTCCTTGTGAAGCTTAACACATAACGTCCATCACTGGATAAGAACACAAGAAAAACAAAAAGTAAGGCACTAATTGTAGTTAACAGGACGCAGTGGCCTTCAGCCGCGCCTGCGTAGTTGGAGCCGCGCAGAGTGTAAGCTCCAGGCCTCGGCCCCCGCCTCCTCCGCCGCCGCAACACCCCCTCCCCAGAAGAGTTCCCACTGCGCACGCGCAGTACTTAACGGCCGGTCAGGAGCCCAACAATTAGTCCGGTCTCATCCAAGAAGAAACTCTTAAATTAGAAGAAAAGGTAGTGCGCGCTCTCTTTAATAACATTTCCCTTTTACAGACAGCACCGCTTTGATTCACCAAGTCAGGCAGACACTGCTGCTTTAAGGGAATGAGGTTCCAGCAGTCACGCCAAGCAGCGTACGCAGCCTATTTAACTCATGGTACCTAGGCCACAGCAACCAAGAGGTTTGTAATAATCCAGCAAGTCCCCACGTGCAATTGTTCTTCATCACTTACCCACTCTTGTTCCGGAACACCGCTGTCGCCACGGTTCTTGCAATACCTCTCCAACCCTTTTCGATGCTTCTACTTCTTCACGAACAAGACAAGATGGCGCACGATAGGACTCACCCGGAAGTGAATATTAATAACATCCGCTTGTCATCTGAAGCCATACTAGCACTACTCCTTGCTTGTCGGCACGTCACTGTGGCGGATTGACAAGGTCCGATGCCATTTTTGTTATGGGCAAAACCACATCGACTTCTACAAGCGTTTGAACATTCCTATAATCACCTCTTAATGTAAGCTCGCTCCGGTGCCCTACGCATTTTCACCTTTATAGTGGGCAGAAAGCCAAGAGCCTAACTGTCCTACACAGAGAACGCCCTCAAATCTCTTACTTTAGTAATAAGCTCCTCCTTCAAGAGGACGTGTGTATCCCACTCCCGCCCCTGGAACATTCCCGCTCTGGGAAAAAAGGCTGAGTTCACGTCTCCACTTTCAGACTACGGAAGGACTTGAGGGTCAAACTCAGTCGTCTCTGGTCAGTTGCTGAGTGATCCCGGAACAGCATTTTAGGCACGACAGGATTTGGCCCCGACCTTCTTGGAATACCCAAGACTGGAGCCTCCTTGAACGCTGCCGAAGGTTCAGGGGAACAGGATATTTGTGCGGGTGGCCTGTTTGGGTCGGTAGCCAAAGTGGAGACTTTATCTGACCCACAGCCATCTGCTGTCCCCTTTGTTAACCCAAAGCATGGCGCCCCTTCTGGAGATGTTTGCTCAGCTCTACTTGGCTTAGCTAGTTCTTAAATTTCTTTATCCGTGACCTTTAGGAAATAGTGTTCAGAAGTCTTCTATTCCCTTTTCCTCCCGAAGGGTATATGCAGTGCAGTTCCTTAGAAAGAAAACTTTGACTCCACAATGTTTTAATGTGAACATTTGTCTATCAAAAGTACCAATTTACATACTAGGAATTTCAAATAAGAAAAAAGTGTCCCCAAAATGTAGTATTTATTTCTTGGCTAATCGTGGGTAAATGCCTTTCCTGAGGTGACAGATTTTTGCATAACTGAAGAAAGCCTGCACTCAGAATCTAAATCATTTCCTTGGTAGTTGGTGGACGGGAGAATCCTGCAGATTACTACTAAATGAATAACAAACATAAGTATATGGTCCACGATTGGTCTCACCCTCAAGAAATTATTACTAACATCTGCTTGTCATCTTTAAGGGAGAGAAATATGAGTATCCTTTATCAGTGTTCCGTGCTAAAGCACTCTGAACCCAGAAACACCTGGATTATCATCAGAATGAAGTCCTCACTGGCTGAAGAACAATAATAAATGCTGGAAAGAATGTGGGGAAAAGAAGTCCTACACTATTGTTGGGAGTGTAAATTTGTACAATCTTTGTGCAAATCAGTATGGTGGTTCCTCAAAAGATTAGGAGTGGAACCACCATATGACCCAGCTATATCACTACGTGGTATTTATTTATCCTAAAGAATTAAAGTCATCGTATTTTGGTGATACAGACATACCCATATTTATAGCAGCACAATTTACAACGGTGAAACTATGGAACAAGCCTAGGTGTCCAATGGTTGAGTGGATAAAGAAAATGTGGTACACATACACAATGGAGTTTTATTCAGTCATAAAAATGAAACTATATAACTTTGAGGAAAATGGTTGGAACTTGAGAACATTATCTGAAACAAAAGAGGCCAAACTCAGAAAGTCAAGAGTTGTTTTCTCTCATATGTGGAAGCTAGAGAAAAAAAAGGAAAAGAAGGGAGAATCTCATAAAAATAAAAAGGAGATCGGTAGAGAAAAGGAACCAGGGAGGGAGGGAAAGGGGAAATAGTGGAGAATATTGGCCAAATTATATTGTTATATTGTGTGAATATATGACTATGTAACAACAAATTCCACTATAATGTACAATTACAATGCACCATTAGAATTATGGGAGAAAAAGTCATACTTTGGCATAACCAAGTTTATAGCAGTACAGTTTACAATGGCTGAACTATGGAACCATCTTAAAGTGTGTGATAATGGATGAATGGCTAAAGAAAATCACACACACACACTGGAGTAGTTTTATTCAGCCATAAAGAAGAATGAAATTCTGTCACTTGCAGGGAAATGGATACTTAAGAACGTTGTGGCAAAACAAGTCAAACTCAAAGTCAAGCATGGTATGCTTTCTCTCATACATGGAAGCTAAAGAGAAAAAAGGAAAAGAAAGGTTTGTGTGTGACAACAAAGGTGGGGGGGGAACCTCGTGAATATCAAATGGAGATCAACAGAGTAGAGGAGAGGGACTAGGGACAGGTAGGAAGGAAGGAAAAGAGGAAATATGGGGAATGGCATTGGCCAAATTATATTGTATGCACGTACAAATATATAAAAACAAACCCCACCGTTATGTACAACTATAATGCACTAACAAAAATATGGGGGAGGAAATGAATGCTGTAGCATGATGCCTGAATGTTTTGTCTGGCTTGCTGCTTTGCTAGGTTTGACTCTGGTAGACTTCAAGGTTCTCCAAATTGGCCAAGCTTCATGATGAACTCTTTGAGTGCAAGAGGCTGGAGGCAATGTCAGGAGAAGGCAAGATGCTTGGATTCTGGTGTTAAAAGAGGAAGAAGTGGAATTATTCAGAATACATGCAAACTTACTTTTTTCAACTGATCCCATCTTCATAGGTTGCTTTCCAACTTTGGAACTGCTTCTTACTTTGGCTTTGTCTGTTTATATTTCCCTTAACTTTCTGGCCATAAAATATTTGTGTCAGCAGGGAAAAAAAAAAAAAACCTCCTGGTTCTCAAATCAAAATATAAATTTATTTTGAGAGAAAAGTTCACTAATTATGGAGGTTCACTAACCAGGATGTGAGTTCATGAGGATATTACTAGAGGAAAAAGGAAATTCATTTTCTTTGACCCTTTCCTTGATTACAAGCTAGCACAACTAAGACTACTAAAAAATCTAATATGCTTCTAAAAGTCACTTTATGGAGCAAAAACTAGAAGATTGTATACTACATTATTAGTAATTATCTCTGGTTTTCTGTATTTTCCAAGTTTATTTTCATGAGAAACATTTGGAGAAATATTCTATCAGTGAAACCTATCATGTTTCTACTGCCTATAATCATCCTGTAATTGTTTGCTTATTTCCCTTGTAAAGTTGAGGTAATTTGGGGGGTCAGGATTTTTTCCCCACTTCTGTACCCCACATGCGAAGAACACACAGAAATGTTTACATTTGTCAAATGACTGGATTTATATTTTGAGCAATGACCTTAATGTAAGCCAATCATTTTGGATATCCATTGCCAAACGGAGGGGATGATTAAATGCTTCACTTTTTGTTCCTTGGTGCCAGTTTAATAATATACTAAGCAATCCCATTTACAGACCAAAAATGAGTTTTATTCCATTTCCCTTTCCCTAACCATTCTTCCAGAATTTCCCTGTAACAGGACATGATGGTGACAACATATAAGTGTTGGAATACTGTGTATTTCAACCCCAAATTTTCTCAGTGTGTATGCTGTTGTGATAAAGTGTCTGTGTAAATAGCTATCACATATGAACTCCTGTGCTTTGGTCATCCTGCACCCTGATTATCAAGTGCTATTAGCATCCACCATCTTGCCAGGGGTATCTGGTATCTGCTAACGATCAAGGGACTTTGAAAATTAATTTTTAAATTAACTTCCAGTTTGCAGTGTTGGAGGTAGGAAATTTTAGAGAAAGATATACTTTAGTACCTTGGCTCATGGAGAGAAATTGTCCTTAAAGTAAAATGGAATAAAATGTTGATATAAGAGGTGGAAAAAATACAGAAATAGGAACTATTCCTGCTTTTCAATATTTGAACCTTTATAATGCTACTAGGTTCCATGCCACATCTTAAACCTCAAAAATTTACAGTTGTGATATACATATGCAGAATATTATTTAGTCTAAAAAGAGAACAAAATTCCAGTACAGCTGGGTGTGAGCACAACTGTAATCCTACTGGCTCGGGAGGCCAAGGCAAGAGGATTGTGAGTTCAAAGCCAGCCTCAGCAAAAGCAAGGTGCTAAGCAACTCAGATCCTGCCTCTAAATAAAAAGTAGAAAACAGGGCTGAGGTTGTGGGTCAGTGGTTGAGTACCAAAAAAAAAAAAAAAAAATCCAGTACATGCTTAAATATGGATGAACCTTGAAAACATGTTGGTGAATTAAACCAGACACAAAAAGATAAATATTGTATCATTCCATTTTTATGAGGTATCTACACTAGGTACAATAGGTCAATACAGAGAGTAGTAAAGAGGTTGTCAGGAGTTGGAGGAAAATGGGAGTGGGAGTTGTTATAGTTTAATGGGTATAGAGTTTCTGTTCAGAATGGTGAAAGGATTCTGGAAATGATGGTGTGGTTTGCACAACAATGTGAATGTACTTAATGCTACTGAATTATAATACCTAAAAATGGCTAAAATGGTAAATTTTGTTATATGTATTCTTCCACATTATAAGCATATTTAACATACTATAAATTATTATGAATTGCAACTCTTCTAATTACTCAGTAACTACTTATGCATCTTTTAGAAAGTAGTGAGACTTTCTGGCATAATGAAGTATGAGGTGGACATGAAATAATAATTGGACTGGGGGAATAGATTGCCTAACATACACATGGCATTGCATTCGAACTCCAGCACCACAAATAACAAAAACAATTTTAATTATTTAATGATAGACCATGCTGAGATTTATGCAGGTATGGGTCATTTAGGTTAGACTGCAGAAAGACTGCATATTATCTAAAATATTTTATGATTCAAGCTACTGTTTCCATATTATTGTTCACTAATACCTGGTTCTCCATGTACTTTCAGTACACAGAAGATTGCACTTCTAAGCTCTCTTAAAGTAAGAGAGGACTTCATGAATTAGTTTTGGCCATTACACTATAGGTTAAGTGATGAAGTCATTTGGGGGCCTGAGTTTACAAGACCTGCTACAGGGTCACTAGACTGTATATTTCAGATATTGTAACAAGTTCCAGATAATGCATGTTTCAGAGGATTGGTAAATCCTCTATCAGCTTGTATCTCTTTGAGTTGCTGCATGGTGAAAGTTGCCAGAAAAATTCCCAAATCTTCCAAGGACTTTACAATGACAAAAAAATAAGTGGTTGAAGTTCTGGAATCACTTACTATAGAATAAAGCTAACCTAACTTGAGATATTTGTAACAGAAACTGAGTGTTGCTCAAATGAAAAACCTGTAATAAAAAGCATTAGCTTAAAACAGAAATATCAGTTTAGAGGTTGGTTGGTAGACATAGAAAACTAACATTGGAGCCTACAAACATAGCATTTCACATTATACAGTGGTAAAACATTAAATAAAACTATTGCCTATGATAATAAGGGGAAATAATACATATAATGAATTTCAATTTAGGGGAAGAGATTGAAAAACAAGACACTAGTGTGTGGTAGATGGTATTTGGAAGCAATTGGCAAGGTATTCTAAGAAAAAGTAAAAATGGACATGGTGGTGTAGATCTCTAGTTTGAACTGTGTGGGAGGCTGAGGAAGGAGAATCACTTGAGCCCAAGAGTTTGAGACCAGTTTGGGCAACAAAACAAGACCTCACCTCAAAAATCAGTCATCTAGCTAGGCGTAGTGGCACATATCTGTAATCCTAGGGGTTCCAGTGGCTAAAACAGAATGATTGCAAGCCTCAGCAAAAGCACAGTACTATGAAACTTAGGTAAGAACCTGTCTCTAAATAAAATACAAAATACGGCTGGGGATGTGGCTCAATGGTGTAGTGCCCCTGAGCCCTGAGTTCAATTCCTGGTACCAAAATATAAAACAAAAAAATCAATCATCTATCTATATCAGAAAAAAATGGATGGCTTGTGAGGTCACAACAGGATAGATTAATGGCAACCCAAAATTTTGAACTTCGTGCAAGATAGCGTTACTCCTAAAAGGAAGAGGTAAATTTAAAAATGCTTTTAAGTGACAAAAGATCATTAAAACTCAGCCTTATACCAAGGGTCACAAGTAAAGACATAAAAATTTTTCATCTATTTTGGAATTTTTTTCAATGCGTTAATTAAAGGTATGGAATCTTAACTTCTTACTCACTTGGAGGGGAAAAAAAATGCCTGAGTGTGAAAATGTGGTTAAAAGTTTGCTTTTCCGGGCTGGGGATGTGGGCTCAAGTGGTAATGCGCTCACCTGACATGTGCAGGGCGCTGGGTTCGATTCTCAGCACCACATAAAATAAAATAAAGATGTTGTATCCACCGAAAACTGAAAAATATTAAAATATTCTTTCTCTCTTAAAAAAAAAGTACGCTTTTCACACCAAATCTTATAAATGAACTGCCACACACACACACACACACACACACAAAAAAAACATGTGGGACAAAAAAGAAAGGTAATACAATTATTAATTGGCTTTTTTTATCTGAGGGTTCCCCAGCTCCAAGTTCCACGTTCATGAATTCAACCAAACCTACTGCATCTTGAAAATGTTTGAAAAAAATTGTGTTTGTACTGAACACACTTTTTCTTTTTCCCTACCATTAAACAGTAGAGCATAACAACTGTTTACATTGCAATAGGTATTTTAAGTAACCTAGAGATGACTTAATGCAAATACTATGCCATTTTATATAAGGGACTTGAGCATCCTTAGATTTGAGAGGGGTGGGCCTAGAACCAATCCCCAAAGAACACCAAGGGAAAAATGTATATCCAACCCCAAAAATATGTTTCAAAAAACTCTGGAATGGATATTGGCACATGGATTTGACTGGAAATATGCGATGCCTACTAAGTTTTTAAGAATTGTTCTGAAAGACAACCATGAACTTGACTAAACGAATGTGTAACTATTCTAAATTAAAAAGAAAAAAAAATCGGCCCCAATCATCTAAGAAATGATACACACACACACACACACACACACACAAAGTGCAACTCCCAATTATTGTATATTCTTCAGCAGTCATTCCAATAGAAGTTAATTTTAAAAAACTCTCCTTCTGGGCTGGGGTTGTGGCTCAGCGGTAGAACACTCGCCTCGCACATGCTATGGGTTTGATCTTCAGCACCACATAAAAATAAAGATATTGTATCCAACTAAAATATATAAAAACTCTCCTCTCAGAGGATGGAGTCTGGGGTCACAGAGAACAACGTCCAATCATGAACATATCCCCCAAACAGGACCCTGACACTATCTCCCATTCTTCCCCATTCTGGATTAGAAAGTTGATTATGGGCTATGGTTCCATCTTTTCCACCACCATTAAGCATGTGGAGAACAGAGCACATCATTTTGGTTTCTGGGTCTCCAGGTGAATGGGGGCAAAAGCCTGGTCTTAGACGATAAAGTGTTGCATGGACAGGACTTCTGGGCAGTCTCTTGAACAGGAAGTCATTGTGTTCCATGTTTGGAAAAAGAGTGAGCTGAGTATTTGGTGACCAGAAGGGTGGATTGTGGTAGACACCTCAGTAAACTCACACATCCTATCTCCTTTTCTACTGAGCCCATGGGATATTTCCTCTTTCCTATCTATCCTTTGTTGCAGTTAGGCAGAGTCATGTGACCAATTTTGTCCAAAATGAAGAACATAATCCCCAGTGCAAGACCTCTTAGCACTCTGTTCTCCTGCCACAGAGAAGAGACCTGGTGTTGAAATGGTGTTGCCAAAGACTGAATCAGCCTGCATTATAGTTACAAGTTGGAAAACAGTTGCCTTGCAGATTGCTTAGACTCACAGTAAACTTTAAGTGAGCAAAGAATAACTTGTTGTGTAATACTACTAAGAACAGGATTCATCATCATAACCTAGTCTATCCTAATAAATAGAGGAATGCAAACATTTTGGACCATTTTGTGTGGCTGTAATTGAAAAAACTGTATGAAAATGGTTTCAGGGGTTACTTGAACCTCTGAAATTACATATCAAACAATAAAAGGGACACAAAGTTCTGGAGGGAACATACAAATGTCAAGATTTTCCTTCCCAACCTCTACATTGATAGAGAGAAGGCCCAGAGAGCTTCCTTGATTCTTTCGCCACGTGAGGAAACAGTGAGAAAACACTAAGAATCAAAAGTGTTCCTTCACGAGACCCTGAATCTGCTGACAACTTCATCTTGGACTTCCCAGCCTTTAGAATAGTAGGAAATTTCTGTTGTTAATATGTCACCAGTTTATGATATTTTTAGCCCAAGGGACTAAAACACAAGGAAGTACAATGTTGACAGATAAAGTATTCTGTTAATAACATGCAGTGCAAAAACTCCAAGACCAGTCTTGTAACATAAGATAAATAAGAATATTTATTATGATGTTTATACAGTAACAACAAAATAATGCTCAATAAATTACATAACTATTTTCTAAAAACACTGCCAAAAAAGTAAAGATAAAACAGTAGGAATGACATTATGAATTTAATACTCAAAATTTAAAATATAGTCCTATATCTTTTAAACAGATTTGAACTGATAATTTCTACATGAACAAAAACATTTAAAATATAGAAATAGTCTTTCTTAATAATGTACTAGACACTATCTAAAAGTTCAATTTTTATTGCACATTTTGGTTTAAGCTTATTTGATCATGTACCATGCAGAAAAATAAATTATGAAATAAAGAAAAATAGGGAGGATGTTACTTTGTACTACAAAAATTAGATGAGGGATAATATACTTCATTAATCTTCAGGAAATTTTATTTAACTATTGCATAAAACCACTGGTTAAAGTCATTACACATTCAAACTAAGAGCTATTAAATGTAGTAAAATAGCTCTGCTGGTACATAAACTATCCTTTTTGATACCAGTTATCATTCTCTTTAGTCAACTAAAGAGATTGTCTTCACATAAATTTTTAAAAATACTAAATGATAAAAACTTAGGTGTATATGTATATTTGGTTATGTCAAAATATTCACATAATTGGCACATAATCAAAATGTTATCGTTTTAAATATGGAAAAACTAGAAGGATCTGGGGCTAGACATACCCTGTAAACAACTTTCTAAACAGAGCTAGCAAACTTCTGTTTTACTTCACAAATGTATTCAGTCAACACTATGGTAGTTGTATTGAATGTAAACATTCTAATTTATTTATACTGTTTCCTGAGGTACCAGAAACTATTGTTATTACAGTAGTCTCACAATTTAATATCCCTGCAAGTGTGCTTTGAAAAAATTCAAAATTAAAACAAAAATTTAAAAGTAGACTCAGACAGGCTCATGCCTGTAGTCCCAGAAATTCAGGAGACTGACGAAGGAGGACTGCAAGTTCAAGGCTAGCCTCAGCAACCTAGTGAGACCCTGACTCAAAATTAAAAATAAAAAAGGTTGGGGATATAGCTCAGTGTAGAGTGCCACTGGGTTCAATCCCCAGTACCTCTCCCCCCGGTCAACACACACAACAGGACTCATGGAATTCAGCATGCTCTATTACAAAAGCTACATTCAGGAAAGACCTAGGTTTCAAACTCAAGTTTTTTTCCTATTTTCAGATGACAAGAAAAAAGCATTTCATAAACTACAGGCCATAAGAAAATAGATTTCAGAATTGGCTCATTTAATACTAAAGGAAATGAAAATAAAAACATCCAATTTCCAAGTTACTGGTAGAATAATGTCAAAAATCTCTATATATCCATCTTTCCATTTTAAAAGATAATAAAATAGTGTCATCACAGTACATGACCCATGGCAGGTACAGATGCCTCATCTAGATATCTATCTGAAACAAAAAATGGATGCCTATCCAGTGAAAATAGTCAAAATGGCACTTAATAGTCAAAATGAATGAGGTGACATTATTTCATGGTGGGGACATTGCTTGTTGGCAACTGCTATTACCAAGATGGCTAATTCAAAAAAAGAAAAAATAAATTTAATATTTTTCAAAAAATCATTGCTCTGGTAATAAAATCTTCATCGTTAATGGATTACAACTAAATAGAAAATACTGAAAATTTCTTTTACACAACAAATTGATCCTACTAACAAAAATGTATTTCTCTGTTGAAAAAAATTATACTATTAGACAGGTGCAGGGGTACACACCTATAATCCAAAAGCTCGGGAGGCTGAGGCAGGAGGATTGTGAGTTCAAAGCCAGCCTCAGCAAAAGTGAGGTGCTAAGCAACTTGGTGAAACCCTGTTTCTCAATAAAATACAGAAAGTAGGGCTGGGATTGTGACTCAATGGCTGAGTGCTCCTGAATTCAATCCCAGTACCACCCCCTCCCCAACAAAAAAAAAAAATTTACTACTGAAATTCCAACAGCTTAAAAATAGATTTTATGCAATGACATTTTAAAGCTCTTCATTTTGTATACCACCACCATTTTTAACACTAACTCTAATTCCATTCAATCATGTATCAAAAGGTAGCACTGGTAACCTTGATAATGTACACTTACATCTTAAAAAAAGGTCAGTCTTGGTAAAATATTTCTACACATTATCTACAGCCACTATTCCTATCCTTTTTTCCTTTCTAAAAAAAAAATATCTGACACTTGCCTATATATCATTCATTGGCACTAAAGATTAGGATGCTAGAACCATGAAATTATGTTTTGATTCAATAATATGACACTGAAGTTGCCATGATTTTTTGAAATTTAAGCCTGAGGAATAGTAATATTTTCATACTAAGTTTTTAAAGCTTGATAATTTGTGTTCTAGAGGTGGGGGAGGTACTGCATTTTTGCTGTTAATTATTTAAGAGAGAACAGAAGTGCCAGCCCTGTGCCTCATTAAAGTAAAAACTAAATATACCTGAACTTTTAAAAGATGTTTGTTAAAGACAAAAAAAAAAAAAGTGGGGGTTTCTTTATACCCCCAAACCATGTTTAATATTTACTTAAATACAGAAATAGAAGGTGTTCCTTGTTAAGTATAAGACTTCTCTATTATGCACAAACATAATTTGCTAATTTATATTTCAAAGACATCCAATGATCAAAAACGGATTATCAATTTCTGTTTATAAATTCTCCACGTCACTTATCTATAATTATATTTTGATCTTGGCCAGAAACTTGCAAATTATGTTCAACTCTATCATGAATAAGCTTAAATGGTTTGTTTATAAAATGTTTCAATATTCCCCAAACCTCAAAGCTATAAGCTAATCAACACATTATTTGTAAACCCACACTACCAAAATTACAGTGATACCTTTTTATATGGCTAAATTTATATAAAATATGACAAAGTAACTATGTTATATTAGATATTACTTCATATAGTTATGGCAATGTTTTCTAAATAATACATATATGCCACTAGACAGCCCTGAGATGATTTTAAGTGGTGTAGTACATGGATGAGTAATTTTTCCTTAATAGTTTTAAATTTATTTTAATGTTTATTAGAAAAAATAAGTACATAAAATGTGAAATATGATTGCTCAAAACAAAACCATGGTTTAAAAAGGCTAAAACATTTTTTTTAAATTAGTAAATATAGCACAGTATATGTTACATGAGATCTGGAAAGTGGTAATGCATTTAGGAAACACTATATTAAGGAATGATTTGATTTAGCTAGTATTATTTCTGAATGTTTGTAATAATGAGCCATATCAGAAAGGGACTTCCTCAACCACTAAAATTTGGATTATTTTGTCCCTAAAGATGAATATTTTTTTAAAAAGTTCTTTACATTTAAAAATATGAATTTTAAAGCACAGAGTAAATTTAGTTTACTTTAAAAGGATTCACCAAAATGGTGAAAAAGTTAAGGAGCATTGAGTGACATGCTATTCCAATGTAAAAGAGAAGACTAAAGGCACATTACATATATGGTTACCACTGCAGCATTCAAATAAAAGTGAGCTAAGTAATCACTGCCATTAAACAAATCATTACAATATTCTTTCATAAAAAAGAAGATAAGCTTGTGCACTAAGTGCTCTCGATTCCGGAACCACCTGCACATAAGTGTCACTAACATGGACCCACTGGCCTCCTGATTCACTATCTGGTTCTTTCAAACCTAACAAAAAAAAAAAAAAAAGAAGTAAAATTTTATAGTAAGCATGTTTTGTGTTCTCTAAATATAAACAACAACATGTTCATTATAAAGTACACTTATCCACTGGCAGATTTTATTCTAAGATTCTGTTTCCTTTTGCATTAAACATTTTCCACAATGAACCAATTCTTTCAAAGCATGAGTTTTATAATTAATTATCCTCAGTTAACAGAACTTTAATTTAAATGTCTAGCAAAATATTAGCCTTGTAAATACTTAATTGCTCAGAGAAAAGAATCATTTTCACTGAATAAGGGAAGGAGCTAAAGTTAATTTGATGATCCATAAGTAAAGCCAGCAAATTTCCAACTCCTACTGTATTCTGAGGACCAGGTGGGTCTTTAAAAAATTTGGGTATTGTTAAGTAAAATAGTAATTCTACTGCAATACATGATGATTCAAAACCTTGAAAACTATGTGTCACTTCATATCACCTAAGAGTATAGTCTCTTTTAATTTTTTAAAAAAGAGTATAGTCTTATGATAATTAAGATTTTCAAATTACCTAAACACTCTTAAGACATAACTTGCATTAAACATTGATAAAGTGAATTCATCTGAGGTAATATCTTACTCCTTCCAAAAAAGAAATAGTAAATTACCTTACTTTTAAGAATAAAAAATACTTAATATGGCATACCAGATACATTTTTCTTTCCGGTGATATGTTCCAATAATTTCCTGGAGGGTACTCTCACTTTCACATAAGCAGTGTAATGCCCTCCTCTCATTGAGCCACTGTGTTCCACTATGCCATAGAGACCATAGAGAACTTTGTCTCCCACACTTACATTCTTTTAAAAAAAAGGAAAAACAAATTAGTAATATTTAATGAAATATTCTTATAAGAAAAGGTAAATGTATATCCCACTTAAAATAAGAGAAATGCATTATTAAAACTACACTGAGATATTTCCCCTATACCTATTAAGCTGGCAAAAATGCAAAAGCTTGATAAGATTTTCTGTTGGCTGGTTTGCAGAGAAAAAGACTCCTTGCTGAGAAGTTGCATGGGGGAATATGAATGGGTCCACCCTTAGGCAAGGATATTTCATGTTATATAGCTAAGTTACATATGTATTACTGTTGGATTCATCAATTCTGCTTCTAGGACTGTATCCCAGGTACATAAGAAAAAATATAAAAAGACATATACCAGACTATTAGTTGCAGGATTATGTGTAATATCAAAAGACTGACGTAGACTCAAATGTCCACAATTAAGAAATGGTTGAATAAATTATGATGCATCCAATCCAATTCTGCTTCAAAAATGGAGTGCCAGCCTGGAGAGTAGCTCAGTGCTAGAGCATGTGTTTAGTATTCACAAAGCCCTGAGTTTAATACACAGGAAAGAAAGAAAAGAAAGAAGAAAGGGGAGGAGGGAGAAGAAAGTGCATACTATCTCTAAACACTGCTATGAAATAATCTCCAGGATGTAATGTTAAAAATAAAGTAGAAAACAAGGACACATCGTGTAAACTACCATTATTTAAGAGGGGGGGGATGCAAATATGCATACCCATCTGCTTATATTTTAAAACAAAAAATAAAACATAATTTAACATGTTAATCTATAAAAGGAGGGATTAAACAGGTGAAATAGATTAATTTTATCTTGTTTAGTACATTTGATACACTTGGCTTGGGAATTATGTAAATATTTTATTTAAATATTAAACAAAATTAAATTTTAAAAAGTAAACACTAAGCAGGGAAATTTGAAAATACACAAATGAACAATATATTCAGTTGATGGCATAATCCATAAAGAGAGAACACTAGGGTCATGTCACGAGAATCCAGAAGCCAACTTGTAGTGATTTTCAGTGGTCAGATATGGGCACAATAGACTAGATACATTGGACCATGATTAAAAAGAACAATTAATGAATTGGAACATATGTATTTAAACCCATGAATCCATAATCAGAATATTGTAATTTAATTACAGTTTGAGGAAATAACTAATGAAACAATTCATTATTTTGAAAAAATGATTTAGAAAGAATCAAACATTTATCCTGCCTTTTCTATAACAATTATACCATAAGACAACTAAACAGAAGAAAGGAATTTCTCTTTACATATTCAAGCTAATAAATGAAAAAAAAGGTTCAAATTAAAATACCACCATTCTGTAATTCTTAATGAACTCATTAAGTATTGAGCATTACTGGTTGCTAATATCACACAAAGATGGATAATTGATATGCTGTGCTTCCTGACAAAAGAACAGAACAATCCCTATAAAATAGCCTTACCAGAAATGGTGGGGGAGGGGGGTTGCTATTAAATGTGAATTATATTCAGCCCTCTCTAGGTCTAACTACCTATCTGTAAAAATAAAAATGACAGGGGTAACAATCATAAAAATATCAATTATGGGAAATTCCAAGAAAGATGACCTGGTTTCTTTAACAAATAAACTACGAGAGAGCAGACAGGCAGGAGAGAAAACACTACCCATTGAAAATATTGAGGATATAGCTCAGTTGGTAGAGTGCTTGCCTCGAGTGCACAAGACCCTGGGTTCAAGCCCCAGCACCAAAAACAAAAACAAAACAAAACAAAATAAAAAAACACCCTAAAACAAAAACAACAAAACAAAACAAAACTTTGCCATGTCTTAAAAGACATCATTCATTCATAACTTATGGGCCTTATTTGGTTATCAATTCATTCTAAAAAATCACATTTGAAATAGTTGGAAATATAAAGATTAGATGATTGAAGAAATTACAATAAATGTACTGTGATTATGTCAAAAAGGATAGGGAGCATGTCTTTCCTTTTAGAGATACATAATAAAATATTTATGGATTGAATGTTAACAACAGAGAAGAACATAAAGGAACATGTGGATGGGGGAGGACCTGCCATAAGGTTTTAGGGCTGGGTGCTGGAGGTTCACTGTACTCTTCTGACTACTTTTGTGTATGTTAAAAATTCACAATAGGCACTTTAAAAATGTAATTTTTTTTTTTTTTTTGGTACTGGGAATTGGATCCAGAGACACTTTACTGCTAAGCCATACAACCTCAGCCCCTCTTTATTTTTTATTTTGAAACAGGGTCGCACTAAGTTACAATCTCAACCTCCTGAGTCACTGGGATTATAGGCATGTGCCACTGGACCTGGTTTGTTCCCATAAATTTAACACAGAGGTCTGAGATGTAACTTAGTGGCAGAGCACTTGCCCAGCATGTGCAAGACCCTGAATTTGATCCCTAGTACTCAAAGTTAAAAAAAAAAAAAAAAGCAAAAAGCTTACTAAATTTCATTATTTACCACATTACCAAATTTTAGGAATATTAAGTATTAATAGTTGTAGATAGTATTGGTATCCCACAGCAGATAAACTAGACTCATTGGAAAATTGCATTTAAAATATTTTTGTTTTGATTGGTCAATGTACTAAAAATATTAAACTTCAAAAAGCATTCTACTACATAACCACAAAACCTGAACAGGACATTATGTTACCCTATAATAGTTTGGTTCCCATTAGTAATCAATTTTATCTCAACAATTCTTACATGTACACACAAGTAATTATTAAACATTGTTTTCCATACCTAATAAGGTATGAACAATTTTGAAGTATTATACACAGCTGACAAGTACAGCTTTGATCTTTGCGATTATCATGCCTCATGCTCAAAGGACAGAAGTCAGATTCAATGTATTAAATGAAAAAAAAATTACTGGTTTACCTTCATTATTAAAATTTCCTTTCAGAGGAGCAGCTTATTTTTAAAATGACAATAACAAAAAGTGCAAAAGCATGGCCTAATAAACAAAACAGATATGCTTTAAAGCATATTATTTGCAGGTCAGTTAAATAACTTAATATACTGTACCTTACAAGCAGCAGAACAGAATGGTGCTAAATCAAGCGTAAGTGGAAAATCTACATGTCTGTTTACTTTACGAAGACTCAAGCCAGCCTTAAAAATACCAAAAACAAATTTTTAATACAACTTAATTAGCTCTAAAGACTGGGTTAATTAAAATCCCAAAAGGAATTCTAGAAGTTATTTTTTTTTCATATAGATAAACAAACGTGAATAATCAAGAGTCCAAAATTCATATGACTAAGTTAAAAATCAGGTTTTCATACATTGCTACTGAAAAGAGTATTCATTTACATGGAGATTTTTACCATGAACAATAAGGGAAATGATTACTTTCACTGTGGCTTATCAACACTTATGGAAAAATAAATTTAATGTGTTAAATGTTAAGCTACTAACATATATGCTTTCATGAAAATGTATCCAACTCAAGAGTCAAATCCCTGGTATTCTGGGCCTAATTCAATGACTTGTTAACAGTGAACTTGCCTCCAAACAACCTCATTTAGGAGAATGCTGAAAACAAGTATAAACTGATTATATTATGTCCTTTTCTAAAATTCAGTAAGATTTATTTTTAAAATTCAATAATACTCATTCGCTAAAAAGAAAAAAAAAACCTGAGCACTTGAAACATTTATCAGTAAAAGTAAATGTAATATATATAAATCAAAATAAATCTTCATGTTCTTAAATAAGCTCTACCTCTTTTTATGTTTTTAATTTCCAAAGCCAAACCTTGCAAAATGTATGCCTGGCATTATAAAATGGTAATAAAACAAGCTGATAGTCTACAGAATATATTGGGTAGGAGACCTATAAATGGATACTATTGGAATGAGAAAATACTTAAATCTGAATTGTCTAGATAGACTCTCTAATAGACACCTCCTTTCACACAGGACTTTCATGACTTTGGTTTTTCCATTGCAAATCACATAATTTCACTGTTGATCTGCTTATTTCTTGTTTTTCTTTAAAGTAAGAAATAAGATTATTTGGTTATTTTTTGGAAAATATAACCAATAACTGATTTGTTTTTGTTTTTTCAAATGATCTTTAGAAAGTTCAACATGATATCTGACATAAAATTTTATGAGGTCATATCTCAAGAATAAATATTTAAGGCTAGGGATATAGCTCAGTTGGTAGAGTGTTTGCCTCACATGCAACAAGGCCCTGGGTTGAATCCCCAGCACCACACACACACACACACACACACACACACACACACACACACACACACACACTAAATATTTGATCAACTTTTAATTATTTTTTCTCATTTTTAATCAGGTGACATTTATAATTTTCCAATACATGTACTGAAATGGTTTCAAGTTTTTGTATCCTCCACAATCAGGACTTCACTGCTGAAAAACCATCCCATATAGAAGATATTTTGTAAAGGCTTTTAATATTAGATGAATCTTTTCATAGAGGATAATTTTTGAAAAATATCTAGCCTTATATTTGGGCATATGTGCTCTCCTGACTTTTTAAAATTTTTAATAGAATGAGACACAATATTTTCCTCATGTCATTAACATATAAATCTGATGATTCATATACTGGATACCAAAGTTAGGCCTTGAACCTGTCATAATCTATATAAGTGGTATATGTAATTTTGTGTATATCTCTATTTCCTTGCAAGGGGTTCTTAGAAGTGAAATTACTTAAGAGTATTTTTATTCAAACACTGATTCAAATCATTTCTAATGTTCTTGATATCCATTACTAATTTACTTTCCAGAGGGTGTTATCAATTTATATGCCCACTGCTGAACAATGAAAATGCATATATCCCACTCCGTCCGTATCGGCACTACTGTATCTTTGCTAATTTGAACACGCTAAATAAGCGAATCTGTCATTTTACTTTGTATTTCTTTTGCTATGAACAATGCACCTATTTTTAATGTCTTGGAATCTGTACATCTTCTAGAACTGTCAACTGATATTTTTTATACATGTTACTGTTAGGGATATTTTCTAGCTAGTCTTTAAGAGCTATTTACATATTTACAATGTTAATCATTGGAATGTTTATGACAAAGACATCTATCCAGTTTGAGATTCGCCTTTCAGTACTGTGAAAGATTCTAATATTATAGAGAAATAGACTTTAAGAGAAACTAGAAACAGAGACATTACTTAGGGATTGTGCTCCCTACAATTCTCGATCCTTGGAAATTAGAATATGGCTTTGCAGACATTATGTTTCACTTGAGAACAAGAAGGGTCTGAATACAATCAATCAATAAGTACATGAAAAAATGCTCACCATCGATAGCAGTCAGAGAAATGCAAATCAAAACCACCCTAAGATACCATCTCACTCCAGTAAGATTGGCAGCCATCATGAAGTCCAACAACAACAAGTGCTGG